AATCCAGCAGTCACTGGACATTCAGGCCAGCGTGCCTGGCGCCCCTGGGCGCACCTTCGCTGCGGCTCTTTCTGGCGGCCGCGCAGAATCTTCACTTGTTTCTGATCGGATGAGACGGGCCCACACCAACGGTACGCTCGTCACGAATCACCATACCAGCACGGGAAGCTTGCCGGCGCCGGTGGCCCCCCAACGCAGCGATCTAGAAATCCATGTCCGTCGCACCGACCCCGCGGTAGTCAACCCCTACCGACACGACGAGCAGAAGCTTGTCAAACGGGCTAACCAGGCGATCCGGGAGACCCGGGATGCCATGATCAGCCATCGAAAGTTCTCCGCCGGCCGGGTGCTGCCGAGCGGGGACGTGGCGCTCCAAGCCGACAGCCTTGAGGACGCTGAGCGGCTGACCCGGTCCAATGGGTGGACCCTTGCCTTTGGGTCCAATGCGGGCATCAAGAAACAGACCTACGGGGTTGTCATGCACGGGGTGGATCGACGCCACCTCACTGACGGCAAGACTGCCGATTTCATCGCCCGGCTGAAGGCCGACAACGCGGGCCGCCTGGCCGCCACCCCCACTGATATTATCTACGCTGGCTGGCTGTACGGCCAGCGGCGAGTAGATGCCGATAAGCTTCAAAGCTCCCTGGTAGTGGTGGATTTTGACAGTGACCGCGCAGCTAACCGCGCACTGGAGCTGGGGCTTGCGCTTGATGGAAAGAACCACCCTTGCGCATACTATGATAGGAACTTCCGACTGCGGCAATGCTTTAACTGTCAACTATATGGACACATCTCTAAGCACTGCAAACGACCTGCTGCCTGTGCCTACTGCGTAGGTCAGCACCTCTCCACTGTCTGCCCGGACTTGAAGAACCGCGAGAAGGAGAGATGCCCTGTCTGCGCTGCTAGCAAGCAGCCAGATGGCGGACACTTTGCTTTTGACCGTAGCTGCCCAGTTCGCGCGCAGAAGATGGCTGCTATCCGTGCTGAGCGGCTCACTGGCCCTCAGTTCCACGCTTCTGCGGCTTGCTGGGCCCTGGGGACACCACCACAATCGCCCACCGACCTGTCGGTCGACCCCACGCCCGCGGAAGCGGCGGGTACAGCCGCCATGCCGCGGGACCCCCATGCCTCCTCTGCGCGCTCGGAGGCAGGTGTCAGCCCCACGGCTGACGCCAGCAGTGACCGGCCAGACGTAGAGATGGTGGACGCTGAGGATATTAACACCCCCACGGACAACAACATAGGGGCGGGGGCGACTGAACCCCCCCCGCCTACGACCTACCACGCGCGCGACGGCGCGCTCACGGTCAAGCGGGGCTGCCCGCCGGACTAAGTCCTGTGCGGCAGCAACCTCCCGGGATGGGAGCAGGGCCCAACCGCACCCCGAACCAACTATCAGCGCGTCTAGCGGGGACGGCAAGCGCCAGCGCTTGATGGCCCCTGGCTTGACGGTCACGGAAGATGGCATAGTCATGGAATCGCCAGCGGAGCAGCGCCGGCAGGCCTGTTGACTCGCCAGAATCAACTGAGATAAGGAACCCTTCCAACCGGGCTTACCGCAAGGAGCGCAGGAAGGGGAAGCCACCCCCTTCAGTCAGGCCCTCACGCAGGTGCCTAAGATATCCAAGAACAGGAGCCAGGCCGACAGCGAGTCAGAAGATGAGCTGTCAGCTGACGCTAACCAGTTCGTGGATGCCAACGACCACAGCAGCGGCGACGGCGACGACGGCAGTGAGGAATCCTACTAATGTCAGTCCCTAAGCTCCGAATCATGCAGGCCAACGTCTGGCACTCGCGCACGCGGGTGTCAATGCACCTCTTTGGTGAGAAAGGGGTCCACAAGCTCGAGATCCTGGCTATCCAGGAACCAAGCATCAACCGACACACCACGCCGGTGACCACCTACTCGCAAGCCCTGGGGGGACGCTTCCATGTTCTGCTACAGCCGACAGCCCCAGCAGATGTGGGGGCAGACGCCCCTAGGGTCTGCTTCTTTGTCAATAAAAGCCTTGACCCAAAGGCATGGTCCGTACGACATATATGTCGGGACCTCAGCACTCTGACACTCCGCCCCCCGTAACGCCCACCTATCCATATCCATAATATATATAACCCTGACAACCGCGCTGGCCAGCCCAGCCCACTAGGCTCGCTAGCACATGCTCTGCAGGCTCCTGGCGACCACGTGGTGGTAGGAGACTTTAATCTCCACCACCCGATGTGGACGCGCCGGGGATACTGACACCGGCACGAGGCCGCAGACGACCTGATCAACGTGGCGGGGGCGGCAGGCCTTGAGCTGCTTACACCCCGCGGGACGACAACATTCGAAAGGGTGGTAGAGGGGCAGCTGCAACGCACGACAATTGACCTGGCGTGGGCCTCGGCGGGGTTGGCGGACCGGCTGGTCCGATGCCAAGCCCGCCGGGGATGGCTCCACGCGGCAGATCACGTGCCCATAGTCACTGAATTCGACCTCACGCTCCCACCACGGGGCGAGACACGACGCCGAAACTGGCGGGAGGCCGACTGGGGGGCCTTCCAGAAGGCACTGGCAGCGGCTCCCTTACCGCTGCAAACACCAGAAACCCCCCAGGGAGCTGACCGTGCTGTCGAACGCCTTATCCACGCCATTCTTGGGGCTGCTGACGTCGCTGTGCTGGAGGCCCGGCTTTGCCAATACTCCCACGCGGGGTACACAACAGAGCTAGCCCAGCTGCGGACGCGGGTTAACCGCACGCGCCGGCGGGCCCGGGGCGGTGCCGAAGAGGACGTCACAGCTTACCGGCGCGTGGTCCATCGACTGGAGCGCCACAGTGCCAAGGCCGCCACGGCCGCTCACCGGGAGCGCGTGGAGGAAGCCACCCAGTCGCTGGATGGATTCTGGCGGCTCGCCCGGTGGGCCCGCCGACGGGGGCAGCCGCAGCCGACATTCACCCCGACCCTGAGGGTGGGGGACCGCGAGGTTGACGACCTGGAAGGGAAGGCGGCCGCTCTACGGGAAGCCCTATTCCCGCCGCCCCCCAACACGGACCTAGCTGACACGGAGGGGTTTGATTACCCTGAGCTGATTGAGGTCCTTTCAGTTACTGAAGAGGAGGTGACCCGGGCCATCTGGCGAGCCGCACCAAACAAGGCCCCCGGCCCGGACGGCATACCGAATATCGCCCTCCAACGGGCCCTTGAAATCCCCAGCATCAGCGCCTACCTTACCACTCTCTTTAATGCCTGTCTGACCCTAGGCTACTGCCTGGAACACTTCCGCGAATCCACAACTGTCATCATCCGAAAGCCCGGTAAGCCAGACTACACAACCCCAAAAGCCTACCGCCCGATCACCCGGCTTAGCACTGTTGGGAAGGCGCTAGAGGCAGTCGTCGCCTACCGGCTGAGTTATCTAGTGGAAGCCCACGGACTCCTACCAAACCACCATATAGGTGGGCGGCGCGGCCAGTCCTGCGAGCATGCCCTGCACCTTCTCCTTGAGCGGACCCATGCGGCCTGGCGCGCTGTGGAGAGCGTGGCCAGCCTGCCCACCCTGGACGTGTCTGGCGCGTTTGATAATGTCTCCCACCAACGGCTCCTGCACAATCTGCGTAAGCGGCGCGTGCCAGAACCCTTCGTCAACTGGATGGCTAGCTTCCTCGGTGAACGCTGGACAACCCTGGTTCTACTCGAGGGGCCGATGGGGCGCAGCCAGGTCAGCACTGGGATCCCCCAAGGGTCCCCGCTGTCGCCGATCCTTTACCTCTTCTATAACGCTGAACGCCTGCGGAAGAAGGGCGCCCATATGACCTCCGCGCTTGGTTCAATAGCGGGCTCAACATGGGGAACGGGGCTACTTCACCTTCGACGCATGTACACTGCGGTGCTATGGCCACAACTGTCATATGGCTGCTCCGCCTGGTTTATCCAGGGGGGCTTCGGCTTCAAGAGCGGCGTCCGAAGGGTCACCGCAGCCATGGAATCCATTCAGTCTCAAGCCCTATATTGGATCGCCGGTGCATTCCGGACGACATCTCGGGCCGCCCTGGATATATGCCTTGATGTGCCGCCAGCCATGCTGAACCTTGCCCGCGAGGCGGAGGAGGCATGCCTGCGTATCATGACATCACCACTACGACAGATGATCTACTCTATCCGCTCCACATCCACCCGCCCCCCCGACCACCGGTATGCCGACCCAGACAAAGACCCCCTAACCTCACCGCTGCAGCGCCTTGAACGCCGACTCCACCACCGCCTTGGCGTCCGGCCGGGCCGGATTGAGACCGTTAAACCATTCGTGGTCAGCCCCTGGTGGGAGCCACCTGAGACTACTATAGTGGACACTCGGGAGCAGGCGATCCGCGAGCACTATAGGGTGCTGACGGGTGCACACGGCCCGAATGCGGTGGTAGTCTACACGGATGGGAGCGGCACAGATAAGGGGGTCAGTGCGGCAGCGGTGTCCCCGTGGGGCCGCCAAACCCGCTGCCTTGGCTCCCTGGACACGCAAACAGTCTACGCTGCGGAACTTAGCGGCGTGGAGATAGCGCTGAATATCGTCGCCGCGCGGCCACCGTCAGGGTGGGAGCGGCGAGTCACTATCTTCACGGACAACCAGGCGACGATCCAGGCCTGTAGGGACCCACGCAGCCCCTCCGGCCAACACTTCCTGCGCCGGATCACGGTTTTGCTTGACCGGCTCCGCGCCGGCGGGTGGCACATCCGCATCCAGTGGCTCCCCGACCACGAGGGGGTCTACGGCAACGAGGCAGCTGACCAACTGGCAAAGGCGGCGGCAAACAGCCACACCCCTGGCGGGTCGTCAGAGCTGGTGCTCTACGCCTCCCTCCGCCGCCGCCTCCGCCAGCTGCTGCGGGAGGAATGGCACCAATTCTGGATCAATCACGACCACGGATCTTCCCTACGGAAGGTCTTCACGGCCCCGAGCCGGGCCGTGCTGAAGCTTCACGTGGGGCTTCGGCGCGCGGCCAGCTCGGTGGTCGTCCAGATGCAGACCGGTAAGATCGCCCTCGGGGGCTACCTTGGCCGGTTCGGCGCGATGCCCACCACGGAATGTCCCTGCGGCCTAGGTCGGCAGGACGTTCGGCACGTACTAACGGCCTGCCCCCGGCATGCGGCGCTTCGGCTCCGCACGGTATGGCAGCACTCACGGGAAACTGACTACACCCGCCTGCTCAGCGAGCCTAGTCTGATACGACGCGCTGCTCAATTCATGATTGAATCACGGCTCCTGGGCCAGTTCCAGGGCTTACCGGATACATTCCGGGCTGAAGTAGGGGGCGGCGACCCCCAGCCTGCGTAACCGCCGAGGATCGCTTGCAGAGCTTACCTTTGACCAAGATGGGGAAGATGCTGGGGGCCCTACGCTACGCGGGTGCTTAGCCTAGGGACGCACTATAGATGACCATGGGTGATGTGCTGAGATTCAGTGTATATAGTAGTAGCTAGCCCGGCTACCCTTAGGGACCTGCCGCCACTCGGCCGTTAGGCAGATGCGTGAATGAATGATTGAATTGAATTGGATTGAATCGAATCGAGAGCAGCGGATAGTCAGAGAACTATACGAAATTCCCAAGGAGAAAGAGAAGAGATTTAATTCGAAAAACTAACTACACAGGAACGGATTCGTCAATCATACAACCAGATTCGCCAAGAAACAAATCGAAAACAACAACCCCTACAAAGATTCCAAACCATCGAGAGCGGGATCCTGATCATCTTCCGCGCACTACGTGGCCTCCTTGTCCCAAAAATCAGTCTCTTCATCATACACGGTGAGCTCGACAGGAGGGCGGAGAACATCGAGGCGAGCCTCGATGCGATCAACAAACAAGGCAAGATCAGACCGAAACCGTTCAAGAATCCCAATATCAGACCACCGCGCCCGATTCACGGGCCATGGGATGAGCACACCATCGAACTGATGACAACGGTGCTGTGAGGAGGGAGTCATGGATGACCGGAGACTGGTAGGCATTTTCGACGGTGTCAGGTATGAAATGCGCGCCGCGCTCGGGGTCTTAAGTGCCCTGGACATCAGAGGCGAGCTGGCGGGCGCTACCCTATTAGACTTAGATCGGGTCAGGACCCCCGAAGAGGGCGGGACGACAGCGGCCACACCGGGGGAACTTTCCGGACCTGATTCCTGATTGATGATCTCAACAGAGGACACGTCGCCATCATCAGTATTGAAGCTTGAGGTACGATTGTGAGCCGCACGATTAAAGATCATGGGACGACGGGATGGGGGCGAAGGGAGATCAACAGCTTTTCGCTTGAGGGGAGTAGGATCGACCTTGCCTCCCTGAGGTGTATTCGAAACATCTTTATTTTTCTTCGCGGGACTCAACTTGGGAGTCTTTAGGTTTTTGGAACTCAACTCGAGTTCCCTTCGAGAAGGGAAATCCTGTAACTCGGCCGAAATTCCTGAAACAAACCCGAGGCCGCCTAAACAGACTACAAAAATATCAAGCCACTGTCAGCTACAAAGTCCATTCAACGAAAAGGAACTTACTCATTATGGTCATTCGACCACGTCTTCAACCGCTGTTGATGTAAGGAGCAATCACCGCCATGACCAAACCACAAACAATTCACACAGGAGCCTTGGTTAAGGGCTTGGCCCTCAAAACCCGGGATAGTCACGCAACCTCGAAAAGCACCTCGGCCTTTCGAACAAGCTACGCAACACTCGGCACCGGACATTAGCTTTTCGCGGACCTGAACTAGCGAAGCTGAATACTGGGCGGCTGTTTTGATATTGCGTTCGACAGCGGAGCCTTCCTTATCCTTAGACCAACGATGGCTCGTATCGGATCCATTAACTTAACAACCGCCATGTCTGGTTGCATCAATTTATTCTGAGGTGCAACTATATCGATTAGCATTCAAAAGGACATCAAAAAGGGATAGCTTACATCATGCGGCCTCTTCCAATGCACCCTCTCAACGAGGGATGGACAACGAAGACATAACGACAAATGAGGATCGACAGTACGCCCCTGATCGAAGAACGAGGAAAGTGATGAGTGCTCGATAAACAAAGAAAAGATGATACGAAGGGTAATCGGCCACAGCGAAGACGACGTGTGAGAGTAAAGAAGACAACAACGCGGATGAAGAAAGGAAGAAGTGAGAGGGGGTCGACGAAAACAAAATCAAAACAAAGAGCTCGTGATCGTTTTGCCTCAGGCAAAGACTACACGCGAAACTCCCCCCCCCCCCCCCCCCCGGCCCCCCACAACAAACAGGTTCTTTGTTCGCAAACATCGAAACTTGCTCACCAATCTCCCAGGCAACAACTATCTCGATCTTTGTTCGACGAACCTATATGAAAGAGCCGACGACTCCAAACCGATGATGTGGATTTGCCCGAAATGGAAACTATGAGGTTATTCCATAGTATCCTATGGTCCGTGCGAACCGAACTCACCACATTCAGCCTCATAAACGACGCTTAGACTACGCAGGGGAGGATGTGATCCCGACGGTAGTTCAAATCCAAATAGCTACCGAACTAAGACTGAAAGATTCTTGAGGTAAGGGTGAACAGCGTTCGACCTATCTGAACACTGTTCGTGCATCCCTACCTACATGCGAAATGCTTTCTATCCCTAGATTGATATGTTATATTCCCCCTTTCTATCCCTTGGTTAGATAGATAGATAGTACCGAATATTATAAATAGCGGTGAGGAATCGAAGGGAAGAAGACAGGCAGGCAACCCCTATCGTCAATCACCGACTTCGACTGCTACTCTACCATGGCGTATTGCACACTAGTAAATTTCACTTTTTTCTGACAAAAATACTTTTGTCAGAAAAAAAGGTCAAAATGACATGTCATTTTCATTTTGACATTTTGACATTTTAAAAGCCACCCCTACCCGGGTCACCTCCTCCTCAGTCACCAGAGGGACCACGATCGGCTCAGGGTAGTCATACCCGACTGTATCAACTAGGTCCGCATCGGGGGGCGGCGGGAATAGGGCCTCTCGCAGAGCGGCCGCCTTCCCCTCCGGATCGCTATCCGGATCTACACGGACGGGTCAGGCATCGATGGGCACGTTGGGGCAGCGGCGGTATGCCTTGACCCCGCCATCTGCTACAAGCGTTATCTGGGATCGACCACATAACACAACGTCGCGGTGGCGGAGATAGCCGAGCTGGTGCTGGCCCTGCGTCTCATCCGTAATGAGTTAGTCCCGAAGGACGCCCTGGCTGCGGCGCGGCAGGCCATGCGGGCCGGTCTGCCAAGCCCCCTGAAGAAACACATTGAAATCTACTCAGATAACCAGAGCGCCCTACGCACACTGAAAAACCCCCGACAGGGGACCGGGCAGTACCTGATCTTGGCGGCGATCAAACTGCTTGACCAGCTGCACCCCGCGGCAGATATATCTTTTCACTGGCTGGCAGCACACCGCGGGGTCCCTGGAGATGAGCTGGCGGACCAACGGGCGAAGGAGGCAACAGCCTGGAGGGAAGACGGCCAGCGCAGGGGCCTCGCCGCAGTCATGATACCTCACTACCCCCCGCGGGGCCCCCTTAACACGTGGATTCGCCAGCTGACAAGGAACCAATGGGGTGGGCAGTGGCGGCAGTCAGAGCGGGACAACTCCCTCCGCCGCGTCCTCCCGGACGTGTCAGCCCGGTCCCTGGAAATCTACAATGGCCTATCCCCCGTGGAACGCAGCGTGCTGGTGCAGATGCGGAATGGTACGATTGGCCTAAATCACTACCTTTCAACTATCAACCGGACTGACGACGCAATATGCCTGTGTGGACGGGCTCCAGAGATAATCCACCATGTGTTACTCAGCTGCACCTAATACGACAACTTACGTCGGCAGACGTGGGCAGATGGGGCCCCCCAAGACATGACAGAAGCCTTGACGGAGGCAAGGAATGCTCGCCGGACTGCGCAGTTCATGCTGAACACCGGCCGGCTGACATACCTGGCGGAAGCCACCCAGCCGGCGTGGCTCGAGCCGGGTGCCCCCAGCGACACCCGACTACTGAGGGCACCGGCAGACGATGGCTGAAACCCCGTTTTTGCTATATTCTCACACATTTTCACTCCCAGCGGGGGGTGCTGGCGTCCACGGCCCCGACCAACGCACATGAGCGCGCTGCATCGGGCTGCCAACTGGCAACCGTATGGAGCCATCACCCTCTCAACCCTCGTGGCTTGGGAACTCACGATTCCGAACTGAACCGGCGGTCACACAGTGGGGCAGGGGTAGGGAGACAGGCGCCTAGGTGGTGGATGAATGCTGAGGGATAAAACTACATCGAGGGATTGACGACAACGACAGGGAAAGACGGATGACGGTACTGAGGGAACGACGGCATGGGCTGGGGCAGCGGCAGCAACAGCGGCTTCTACGGCTGGACTGGGGGTTGAGGGGTTGAGGGATATATACTGGTCTAGGCGTCCTGTCCTCCCATGTAAATATATAGATATTCGCGGTGGTATGGTCCGAATAGGATGGCCACTAGCGACGTGTGACTGCTGCTCACTAAGAGCCTCCGGCATTGCCCAGCTCGGCGCCGCAACGGAGTAAGGAACAAATCAATCAATCAATCAATCAATCATGCAGGCAATCAGCGCGCTGGGCGGGTCTAAGTGGGGCTGAAGCTGGCGGACCTACGATATATATACACAGCATGCATCGCCCCTGTCGCGCTCTACGCTGCCTCGGCCTGGTATGCGCTGCCGATCCGCGGCCAGAAGATGCGCCACAGCCAGCAGGTCAAGACACTAAACCGCATTCAACGCCGCGCTGGGAAACTAATCAGTGGCGCGTTCCGCACCGTCAGCGGGGAAGCATTCAATGCAGAACTACACATGGTCCTGATGTCCCTCCTCCTCCGACAAAGACGCATTCAGACACTCCTCCGCACGGCCACAACACCAGCCTACTGAACGCACATGCTGGCCCGCCGCCAGCATCACCGAAATCCACTATTCCACACGCCAATGGAGTCCGCTGAGGAAGAGGTTGAACTTGCCATTGGCATCGACCCACGCGACATAGAAACACGAATTCCATGGGCGGTGCCGCCATGGTGCCCCCGGAAATCAATATCGACGAGTCCAAAGAACTCTGTCTTCTCCACCATCAGATTCACGCGGTGGCGTACCCAGAAGCAATCCGGATCTACACCGACGGATCAGGCATTGACGGCCATGTTGGAACGGCGGCGGTATGCCTGGACCAACCAATCCGCTACAAACAGTATCTAGGCGGGACAAATGAACACAACGTGGCCGTCGCAGAAATCGCGGGGCTGGTCCTTGCCCTACGCCTTATCCGCTATGAGCTGATACCGGATGGCGCCATTAAGGCGGCCTATGAGGCCATGCAGGCCGGACCGCCACCATGGAAACGCATTGAAATATACTTTGACAACCAAGGGGCCCTCCGCACACTAGTGAACCCCCGATAGACGACTGGACAGTATCTAATCCAGATCGCTATCGAACTCCTCGACCTACTAAACCCCGTGGTGGATCAACCGGACCGATGACGCGACATGCCCATGCGGACGGGCTCCCGAGACAATCCACCATGTGTTATTCAACTGCACCCAATACGATGACCTACACCGGCAGACGTGGACAGATGGGCTCCCCTGCGACATGACAGTGGCCTTGGCGGAGGCAAGGAACGCCAGACGCGCCGCGCAGTTTATGTTAAACACTGGTTGTCTGACGTACCTGGTGGATGCCACCCAGCCGGGCTGGCTCAAGCTAGGCGCCCCCAGCGACGCCTGACTTAGGGCACCCGCGGACGACGGTTGACTTTCTATTTTCACTATATTTTCTCATACTGTACACTCCCAGTGGGAGGCGCTGGCGCACGTGGCCCTGACCAGCAGATATCTGCTATACCAGGCGCCAACTGGCGACCACACGTCGCTGGCGCACCCCCGACCCTCACGGCTTGGGAACCCGTGGATCTATCTGAAATGGGCAGGGACAGCGTGGGGGGAGGGGGCGGCACCTAGATAGGTGCGGAAACACAGGAGAAAGGAAGGAAGGAAGTACGTATGTGTCTAGGTGCCCTGTCCCCCAACCTTGTATATATATATACCCGTGCAGCAGTACAGTCCGAATAGGATGGCTGCTCATGATGCTGCAGTTAGTACTGCTCATTAGGAGCCTCCGGCGTGGCCCAGCTCGGTGCCGAAACGGAGTAAGGAATTCATCAATCAATCAATTCAGGTCCGCAGACCTCCTAATATATACGCTCTAGGAGTGTGATTGCTGCATACTATCTGCCTCGAATGCAAGAGTCGCAAGCTCCTTGACATGACGTAATCATCACTGGGTCGATGTTCGATCTCGATCGATCACCCACCCCTTGCTATGGGATCCGCTTTGGTTGGGATTACTTGACCCTGGCTTCTCCGACAATTCTTTTCAATCTCTTATAAAACAGTTATCCTCCCCGCTTTCACTGCCACACCCATCATGACAAATTCTAATCTCGGGTTTGCCCTTGTGACTCCGGCTTCACGAGGCCTGGGATTTTCACTTGCCCGATGGCTCCTGTCTAAGACAAACATCCCCGTCGTCGCGACAGCACGAAAGGGATGTGATGAGGTCAGGCAACGTCTTATGGATGGGCTAGATGCTTCCAAGAATGTACAAAAGAGACTAGAGGTCTTCCCTGTTGACGTTACTGGTAAATCCAAGCTCCTTCGAAGTATTGATCGAATACTGATTGTTCCAGATGAATCGAGCATCGAGTCGATGACTGCCGAGCTTCGAAAGCTCTTAGCCAAGACGTCGCTTCGTCTCGCTCTGACGGTTCCCGGTGTCCTCCATGTGGAGAAATCACCAGGACAGATCAACGCGTCCAACGCCTGGCACAGCTTCCAGGTCAACACCCTTGGCCAATTACTACTGATGAAGCATCTCTCCCCGTTTCTCCCGACGAAATCCCAGGCAGGGTTTGCAGTCACAGAGTCTCTTTCGGGGGGCGCGTCGATAAAGCTTCCGTCCCACGCAATCTACGCCATGATGGCAGCTCGAGTGGGATCCATCTCAGACAACCGCACGGGCGGATGGTATTCCTATCGTGCCAGTAAGGCCGCAGTCTTTCAACTAGCGAAGACGTTCGATCTTCACTTGCGTACGAGGAGTCAAGAAAGAGCAATCGCTATAGCCTTGCATCCCGGCACGGTGCGAACCGACTTTACTCAGGAGTACTGGGGCGGTCGAGACATGTTGGAGCCTGACGAGGCGGCGGAGAGACTCATCCGGGTTATTACAGAGATGTCGCCGGGTCCAGGGGATGGGAGGGGGCGATGTTGGGATTGGAAGGGGAATGAGGTCCTTCCTTAGATCGGTCAGACAATGAAGGATTGGGAGTGCCGATGGAGCGAATGTATTACTTTCAAGAGCCATGGCGAAGAGGAATACTAAAACGAAGTTGGGCGTTATTGACTAAACTCAACCATCGTGAAAACCAGGTGAACTTCATCTAGGCGATCTATTGTGGCTTCAAACAATGGTTTTGGGAGGCAGACAGACATGACTATACACACAATCTAAGCAATTGCCATGATTATATGGATAAATTCAAATTATATGGGGTATCATTAAACTTAACCATCAAGCAGAAGGTCTATCTGAACTCTAAAACATTTATGTACAGAATTCTAGTCATCAAAATGATGCCATCAAGCTGGCAAAGTCCAAACACATGGACAGAGATAGTTAGGTTGCTCACTGGAACGAGGCTAATGTCTTTATCCGTTTGATCAATTTTTCTCAACATTGCCAGTCCTTACCACGCTGGAGTCAGTACTCTCGCTATCCCCCGCAGTGTTTCTTGCTTCCTGCTCGACCGAACCGAACCCGTATTGAAAGGCCACTCTTTCGATCTCTTCGTCCGACAAGCGCGGCAATTCCTTTGCGGCGCGCACGTAGCTCATGTTCTCCAGGTATCCCTTGGCGAAGATTAAGTCGATTTCTTCCAATGAGCGGCCCGCCGTCTCGGGATAGAAGAAGTAAATCACTGGAATGAAGCAGGCGTTGATCACACCGAAGAACAAGTACGTGCCCCAGCCGATGTCTCGGATCATGATCGGGGTAACCATGACGATCAAGAAGTTGAAGAGCCAGTTTGTACATGTCGAGATGGCGTTGGCCTTGGCACGGGTCTTGATTGGGGAGATCTCCGCGGGATACAACCAGGGAAGAGGAAGCCATGTGGCACCGAATGTGCTGATTCATGGACGTTAGTTTCAACCAAGTTAACCATATTAGGAACGAAGAAACACTTACGCGATGTAGGTGAATAGACCAACCGCCGCACCCTTCGCTGCTTGCTCGGTGTCTGGGATCAAACAGGCAAACGTGATGATCATGGAAAGGCTCTGCCCAAACGACCCGATGAGGAACAGTTTGCGTCGTCCCACGCGTTCAATCAAAAATCATGACGTCATTGCAAAGTTTGAGTATACAATCATGTTGACCCCACCGAGAATCATAGCCATGAACTCGGTCTGATTCAAAGATTTCTCGAACAGAACGGGGAGATAGTAGATGACAGCGTTGCAGCCGCCAATCTGCTGAAAGAATTGGGAGGACGAACCCAACAGCATGCGGCGGAAATGCTGAGTTTTGCCACCAGTGAAAACCGCCGACATTGGAGTTGATTTGCTTGCTTGGCCGGAGCTACAACAAATCAGTATCTGAAAGCAGAACATATGGGAACAAGGAAACATACGCTCGGAGGGAGTCCAATATCAGGGTCTTCTGCAACTGAACATCGCGGTGGGCAGTCCCCTTGCCCATCAGCGCGGCAATCACCCGCTCACCTTCTTCGTAGCGCTCACGAGCGAATAGCCATCGTGGAGATTCGGGCAAAAACCACAGACCAATGATGATGAACAGGCCGAAGACACATTGAAACGCAATGGGGAATCGCCAGGTAAGATCAGGAGGTCCGTATGAAGCACCGAAGTCGACCCAGTAGGAAATCAAGGTGCCGATTGCGACTGTTCCTCCCTCGATGCAGATCAGGAGACCTCTATTTGATGTTCGGGAGCATTCTGCTTGGTAGGTCGGAATCGTGGAAGTGTTCATGCCGTTTCCAATTCCTGTCACGACTCGTCCGATACAGAACTGAGCAAGAGGGACATGACCGGGGTACGAGGTGACCTGCATGATGACCCCGATAATCATAACCGTGGCACCCAGCATAATGGACCACCGACGGCCGAGCCAATCACCGCATGCTAAAATGAACAAAGCACCTGCGAGACAGCCTAATTACCTAGTTAGCATAAATGTGCCTGGGCAGACTCGGTGCTCGAGTTCACTAACCAAGCTCATAGATCGCTGTGACGACACCCTGCATGGTCGAGTTGCCTTTCGTTGCCGTGAAAACATTGTTGAACGGATCAGCGTCAATGATACTGCTCATCACACCCTCTGTGAGCATCGCATGTCAGCTTGGAAACCAGTTATTTGTCCCTTAGTTGGGAGGACATACGGTCATAGCCGAAGAGCAAGAACCCCATGGTTGCACATGTTGTAACAGACCACATTAGCTTCAGGCCAGACATGCCGGCAAAAGTTGGAACGGAAGACATGATGGATGCCTTCTACTCTGCCAAGTGTGTGTAGCCAATCCTCAAGAGAGACATCAGGACGAAGACCTCCAAGGGACATTGAGGTCCTTTATACCTTGTTCCCGCACCCCACAAGCATATCGATGTTACATGTGGAGAGAGCCAGTCTCCACAAGAATGTCCGTGTTATTCGGAGTTCTGACGCATAGAGCGGATGAGGCCTGTTGACAAATCTGGCGGGAAGCTCGAACAGTGAGAGATTTTGAGTCGTATTGGCAGTGGCATGATGGAGCAACAGGGTCAGTGGAACCACAAATGGGAATATCTCATGGAGATGAATTAGTCGACGAAAGGACGCTCAGACTGGAGATCCCCTTGCATGGGTATGGTCCGCGAGTCTTGACCATTAAGCCAAGACCTGGGCACATATATGCCCAGATCTTAGACTGGACTTCTCGCTAACAATTTTGAAACAGGAAAGCGACCCGAGTCACTGATGTCATGGCCAAGCAGACCCTAGAATTGGCCGAGCAATTCGGAAAGGAGTAGTGACCCCACTGACAGAAGCGCGTCATCACCAAGTTAGTAAACCGAGCGTGACCTTTGAGGCTTTGAGCAGTCGGAACGAGTCTAGAATAACGGTGCGGGTAAAGCCACCGCGTTATGTGGTCTACGAAATGTTCCTGAACCCCCAGCTTTTCCCCGTTACCTGAGATCTCTCAGGTTGTGCTCTTTCTGTTGACCCCATTACAGCGGGGCTATCCATTTGCGACAGTCATGCGATGTTACGGTCCTTGGCTGCTGGGGCTCTCACGAGATATTGAACGGTGTTACTATTCCATACAGGCTTCCTCAATGTCCTGCAATTGTACTCATTTCCAAATGAAAAGCTAGATTGTTCGTTTGTCGAGTTTAGTGCTTCCGTCGGGGAATTCCTGTTAAGTGATGACGATGGGTCAACACTGTGGCCTAGGAGAGCCAAAGACCAAACGGGAGCCGTCAAGTCATCAGGTTCTTGGATTGCTGTTGAACTTGATAGACCGAAGCAATGTGGCTGTCGCAACGCCCGGTGTGTGGAAGTGCTTGAGCAGGCTTGGGAATTCCTTGTGAAAGCGCAGCACTGGGCGGGGCCTTGGCGTTCTTGGTAGGAGGATCGACACATTGCCACTTGGTCTGCCAAGACCGGACACCGAGAAAGGAAATTCATGTACGATTCATGATATACCACGAATTTGTCTTCCACTCTCGCTGTGTTAAGACTGACATGAGTGACATTATCAGCGTAGAGGTGCCAAGCGATACTTCCCATGCTATTTCATGGTCCGTCCACTCAGGCTATTGTCTTGTCGCATCCAGTTGCAGGCTTGCTCTGAGGGGTTACGATCGTCAAGCGACTCGCGTAACCTGTCGCTGATATCCTTCTTCGAAGGACATTGCATTAAGGTCTGCGACTCAACTGACAGTAAGACGTTTCTAGTTTAGTATAATCCGTTTCCGACAACATTGTTCACGAATTGACTCCGACTCCCGCAGTCTCAGTTGAGCTGTCCAACGACGGAAAATAATTTCGATCTTCATATGTCCTAAATTTAGTAACAGAAAAATTTCCTTGTCATTCTCCGTCCGATTGCGTTTTTAATTGTGCGAATACTACTGATGTGTTGGAGGGAAAGGCATCCTGGCTTCGAAGCAGCTGGTGCGACAGGAAGTTTCGAGTTGGGAATTCGGGTGGTTCAGTTCAAAACCTACAACAACTGCAAGTTGCCCCTGATTCTCTCGACGTGTATAATGGATCTATTGCGGAGCACGACGCTACTGAATTGTCCCGAGAAAGCTCCCATTTTCCAACTAATCTGGAGAACACCCAGGTGCTCGGAGCCTCGGTGTTGACATTGTCAGTCATCTGCTGCGACAGAAATCGGAGAAAAACGTCTTGTTGTCCACATGGATGAATCTCCCGCGTAATGATTGGAAGCTTCAGTAAAGACGATAGTCTTGTTCATGCTACTCTTGAATCGCTTTCACTCCGCGCTTCACCCCAGACCATTGACAACGCTTTCGTATTTAAGGTTTCAAGTCCGCGTAATGCGTCCACTGGGAAATGCACACTCATCACAGTATGAGATCGCAGTCCCAGCGGAGGGAAGCTCTCAAGCTCCGAGAATAACTTGAACCTTCAACATCCCAGTCAATCGCACGAAGATTCGCAGCCTGCCACATGGAAGGTCTTCAGTCCATCATGTGACAGAGTGATGGTGCCTGAGGCCATCAGGGATCAGGCACCAGCTGCGATTGCCGCACTGTGATTGGCTGACAGTCTGTTAATAAGGTTACGGTAGTTGAGTCGCCCATGGTTGCGGGTCCCAAATTGACCAATAAGAAGTAGTCATTCCAGGCAGCGAGCAGGTGCCTGAAAGCTCATTTCCTGATCAGGGAATGTCCCAGGCATCAAACACACCACAAAGGGGAAGCTGCCTGGTGTCTCAAGACCCTCGTGTTCGCTTCCACCTCCACCATCATTGTGATGGCACAGTACAAGAGGCTGGTCCGCCCACGATGAAGCGTTCTTTAATCATCTCTCCGTCAAGTTACACCAATTCCGGCCAACTTTCCCTTCAGTCGTCTCTTTCCGATCGTTAGTGTCTAGTGTCAACATGGCTGAATCATACACTCTCCCCGCAGTCCCAGTGAAGCATTCAAACTTTATCAATCATGTCAAGTCCCATCCACAAGCCCCCATTCAGGACCTCGTACATCCCTACAACCAATATGATGCAGTGCTACGCAAGATTTATGCCCAGCAACCATCGCATCCAGCAGTCGCCGAGAATCTTCTCAACAACGTCCCTTTGTTCGATCGCAATGGTGAGGCAGATCTCCAGATCCGAGCGCGGGATCTGACCGCGGAGTCCGAGGAACTCAAGGCCAAGTTCATGATGCCTCTGAAGAACGAAGACCGGAGACCCAATGGCTCCCCCGCAGTGGTCTCGACCCTGAAAGAATTCCAAACAAACTTCAATTTGTTCTCTGAGAGCTCGTTGAGCGACCTCGACTGGAGTAATGTTGTCGCGGCGGGCAGTGCCGTGACCACCTCCCTTGTACCCGTTCCGGAAGAGTACCGTGACTCCAAACGTGGCCTACGCGAATTCTATCATGAAAAATTTGCCCCGGCGTCGGACGTTGACCTGTTTCTGTACGGACTGACAGAAGAACAGGCCATTGAGAAGATCAAGCAGATAGAAACCCGGATCAAGGACTCCATCCTGTCCGAAACATCGACCATTCGCACGAAGAACGCCATCACCATCGTGTCGCAGTATCCCACACGCCATGTTCAGATCGTCCTTCGCATCTACAAATCCATTGCGGAGATCCTGACCGGATTCGATGTGGACTGCTCCTGTGCAGCCTATGATGGTCAACAGGTGTACATGGCTCCGCGTGCTGTTGGTGCCTTTGTCACTCAAATCAACCAGGTCGATCTCACGAGGCGGTCGCCTTCATACGAGAACCGGCTGTCTAAATACGCTCGTAGGGGATTCGAGGTCTTCTGGCCCATGCTGGACCGTTCGCAAATCGATCCGGTAACTTTCTTCCTTCGCATGCCGCGGTGCGGGCTAGACTGATGAAGACAGACAATCTTCGAACGCAGTTTCACTCGAACCGTTGGCCTCGCCCGTCTTTTGGTTTTGGAGAAGCTCCCCAAGCCTTCCGACCGTGATGCTTACATTGATAAAAGACGACGTGAGCGCGGTAGACCAGTCCCTACGCGGAATTGGCCGGCGAGGCAGCTTCGGGGAAACATCAAAAACGACTGGGACGACGAGGTTCCCGATTGGGATGATGAGCAGGATGTGTCAGATTACCACACTTTTGTACGTGCAAATCGCAGCCTTGAGGGATTACATCGCTGAACAGTTCCCAGACCATTCCATACGGGGAAAAATTTCATGCTCGGAAGATCGAGCGACTCCTGTACACAAAGGATTTGCTTCTGAATGCGGAGTGGAATAAGCCCAAGGATCGGGAGGTCAATCTGCATCGGCACCCGGCATTTTTCGGACATTTTGACGATGTGGTCGAGGACTGCTGTGGCTTCTGTCCTGTACCTGTCACTCCTGAAGAGAAGGAATTGGCCGAGGAGGAGAGCAAGATCTACGTCTCGGGCAGGATTTCGTTCCTCAGGGATAATGCGGGCCGTCAGGAGATCGGCAGTTTCAACCCCATCACGGAGACGGATTGGACTGGTACGTTCTCGGTCTCTTGGTGGAGCCTGCTTGCTAACGAAAAACAGAAATGGCCTATGTCGGAAATACTGCCGGTCTTTGTCAGGCGATTGTGGACCATGATCTGGAGGGCGTGCAGGAGTGGCTGGCGCAAGGACACGATGTGAACCGTCGTGATTTCACCGGCCGCACTGCCCTCCATCTGGCAGTCATGACCTCAACCCCAGAGATTGTGCAGTGTCTGGTGGATCAAGGAGCCCGGCTGGTTGCCCGTTTGGCGGATGGGCGCACAGCCCTGCACCTCGCAGCTGCACGGGGCAGTGTCGACATGATCAAGACATTGCTGACGAAGAGCGAACAGAATGAGGAGGAGGAAGAGGCCAAGAAAGAGAAAGCTCGGAAGGAAGCCTCGTCGAATGATTCAAAGGACACATCCGACAACAAGGATGATGGAGAGCTTATCAGCCATCATCCCGAGAGTGAGGCTGATGATCGTTCCTTCGCTACTGGTTCTTTCGTCAAGGTCAAAAGCGACACAAAGGACGCCGCGAGCGAATCTGTACCCGACGACACGAACGAGCAGGAGCCTGATATCTACGACATCAACGTGATTGCCTGGGATAATCATGCTTCCCCGCTCCATCTTGCCATTGTGAACGGCCACGCTGCTGCCGTTGAGGAGCTGGTATCCTCGTTCGGCGCCGATGTTTTGCTGCCAATCAAGCTACTACACGGATACAACAACACTCCACGGGCTGCTATCTTAACGCTCGTTCTAGCTCTTCAATTGCCCATGGAGCAAGCCAAGGCGATGACTTCGAAGCTATTGCAACTCGGAGCCTCTCCCGCCCAAGCTGACATCGAGAAGAAAACATCGGTAACTTACATTGCTGGGTCTCCAAAGTATACAGAGCTTCTCGACCTGTATCTCGAGCATGACCATCCTGCTGTTGAACGGACCATCAACTACATTTCGACTGGCGGTTGGCGATGGAATCCCTCTGCCGAAACTTCTTTGATAACCGCCATCAAGGCTGGCAACGTCATCGGGGCGTTGAAGCTGCTCGAGGCCAACGCAAGCCCAACAATTGATTTTGACGAATTTATCAAGGTGGCGCAAGATAATTTGGAAGGAATCCGCAATAATACCTCCGATCAGGTGAAGAAGAATTTCAATACACACGTCGCTCAACCCATCATCATGGCCGTCATGAAGGACCAACCCTCGATTGCCCAGGCATTGCTTGCACGAGGCGCCGACCCCAACACAATGTCCCCGGATGCGTACCGGGTCAGGGATGACGATTATGCCAGGTCCAATCTGAAGGGAGAGTCGCTGTTGGATTGCGTGCGACAGAAACTGAAAGACCTCCGGGAGTACAAGCCTGAGACCTCCAACTTGGAACCACCAAAGCCTTTGGAGCAAGATGATGAGCACTATCTCTCGTCATTCGAGCAGGATACATATCAGATGTGGATGGCCAGAGGTGCCCTCGACGCCGCCCGCGAGCGGTACAAGGCGGATCAGAAGGCATACGAGGAGCGCCTTCAGAAGGATCAGGCACCTTGCGGCGTCGAGGAGAAGAAGATTGCCGTGAAGGCGCTGCTGGAGGAGTTTGAGATCCTTGAGGCGGAATTGATTGCTCGAGAAGCCAAGACTTTTGGAGAAATGTATCCAGACATCAAGATGAACACCAGCGATCGCCATCGCAGCTCGTCTTTCAGCATCAAGCCACCCCAATTCAAGGTGACAGTTGACTTTAAGAGACCGGATCTCAACGAAGCTACGAGAGAAGGTTACATCCAGTTGTAAGTTCCCTATGTGATTGCTTCTGATCAGACTTCACTTCCGTTGTACTAACTATTTTCAGATTCGAGGCAGCGTGGCGTGGAGATCTTAAGACCGTCAAGACCTTGACCATGGGAATGTGGGGCCCAGAGAACAAGTCACCACCGCTGGAAATTGCGACAAAGGACCACCGAGACTTCTGTCCGTTCCACCTGGCCATTATAAAGGGACATCTCGATGTCGCAAGGGCCATCATCGCGATTGCCGAGGTCCAGTATAAGCCCGAGGAGAAAGAAGACAACGTGCGGTATAGGATGCGAACGGAAAGCGACGAGGACAACGATTCCTGCTGCGAGTCTTCCGACATAGATGAAGGGGATCGTGAAGAGATTGGTATTGAGAAGCACGTCCTCGATGATCGTTTCACCATCGACAACATCGGTGAGGTCAAAACGCAAGTGGAGAGCAAAATCTCACCCCTTTCCATCCTTCAAGACAACTGCTATCTGTCATTTTTCCTCCCTTCACCAGTTCCAGAGGACGCCAAGTTTCACACTTTGATCCAGTACGCCATCTGGAAGGATGATGTTGAACTTTTAGATTTCATTTTAGACCTCGGACGTGAACTGTCCATGAAGGGGTCGAATAGCTCTGACCAGTCCATTTTCGAAGCAAAGGAGTGGGACTTTACCATGGCTATGCAGCTTGGACGTCTTCGCTGTTTGAAGGAGCTCATCAAGCGGACGGGAGCTGGCCTTCCGCTGGACAAGCTCGCGGAGCAGAGCGGGGCTGAGGTCAAGGAGAAGCCCAAATTCTACCAAGGCTTGTCCATCCACGGCAAGAAGCGCGCAGATTGGGCGGCTGCGGGTCGCGGCATCACCCCTACCCAGCCTCGGGAGGTGCACCCGCCTCTCCTGGTTGCTGCACGCCAAGGGAACGTTGATGCAGTGGAATGGTTCTTGGGAACAGCGCCTGGTCGATACTATGCAGAGTTTGCTGAGGCGTTCAAGCACGACAAACGTCTCAAGAGGCTCGCTATGGGGAATAAGGGCATTGAGCGGTCAATTACAAGCTGGTTGGAATGCCGACGTAAGTTCTCATGTGGGCTGCAGTCTTGGATTATTGACATTGACGTTCCTAGGTGACCTTGTCCTTCACTGCGCTGTTCTCTCCAAGCCAACAGACGAATCGGAGCAATTGGTCCGGTATCTCGTCAAGACTGTTCCTCACTGCATGGAGGTCAAATCCATCGAAGGATACACGCCATTGGCCCTTGCCTTCTCGCTGCAACGTTATGCCTTTGCCAAGATCCTGATTGAGGCTGGAGCCGATCAGACTGCCCGTGACAAGAAGGGCAACAATATCCTCCATTTAACGCTGAACAACGCTACTCATCCAAGTGATGAGAAAGTGAAGGCCCTTCCGAAGATTCTCGGATTGATTGATAACTCCCTGGTCCCCTCTTTGCTTCAGGAGAGATCCTCTCAGGACCCTGGCGCTCTAACGCCTTTAGCGCAGTGGATGGTTCAGGGTCTTACGTACCCAACATATGGCGCACATATCGTACAGGAGTCAGGCAACCAGATGAAGGCGCTCAAGATTATCCTGGACTTTGCACAGCCAACTGGGCAGAAGCATCTAGAGGTTCTCGATGGAGCTGGAAACACTGTGATCCACGATGCTGTACGATGCGGGGTGCCGCAGACGCTCGAGTTGCTGGTCAAGCGCCGACCAGACCTTCTTCATCGTGAGAACGCATCTGGAACGACACCAGCGGAACTTGCCGAAGCCGCCTGGGTCGCCGAGGTGACCTCCAACCCTCCGAATCACGAACGATCCAACCACAACCTATTCAGTTCCTGGAGCAGAGATCGATACAGCGAGAGCCTTGTTCGCCGCAAACCGGATAGCTTTGTCATGGAGAACGACCAGGCTCCTACGCTAAAGCGGAAGATCTACGATTTCTGCTGCAAGAGCTCGGAGGGTGTTTCTGCGAAGCGGCGGTTGGTGACTCTGTTCGAGGCCAATGAGGTCGCTAGGCGATTGGCATCGAAGCATGCAGAGGACACTGGACGGTCCAGATATCGGTCAAGAAGACGGTGGATGGACCCAAATGAGGGCGATTTCGCAGATGAAGTCCAAGCGTGGCATAAGTCTGCATACCAGGGATAGAGGTTTTTTTTTTTTTTTTCTTGTTATTGTTAAAGGGTTCAGTACATAGTTGGACTGATTGTAAAGAATATGAGAATGAATATCTGCATGTTTATAAGATGAAGTTCCGTTGGACGCATAGTCCCAGCGAACTTTCTGATATATCTCGATGTCATATTCCGCGGCATTGAAAAACATGGTGGTGGGGGGGAAAGTATCCCATACCAATGGTTTTACATCCTGACAAATTGGTATAGCATAAATGCTTTGAGGATGCATATTTGCGTAGAAGATCCGGCTGGTACGGCCTCCCTGCTACCCTACTACTCATAATGATATTTCTTGGTAATCTCCAGTGGCAGAAAGACGTATAAACACTCACTGTAAATAGCTTTAGTTGGCTAAGAGCAGTCTGGGAATGTGACCCTTCAAAGTCATACCAGATAGCTGTGGCATGGTACAACATAACGGAGGGCTCAAGTGCAATTACTACGGCAGTAAGGACGGGAGAGGAAGAATTGAAGAAGACGTCCCGTCAGAAAATCGGGGCTTCCATCCCATTTCACTGAAATCACAGTGTGTTCTGTGTATGAGATGTCTCGATTAAAGATGGGTGCACTGAGGACTATCGAATAGGGCATTGTTGTTCTCAGGGACCAATGAATTGGCGAGGTCAGCTACGGCTATTGAGCACTACAGCCTGTCATCCCGGCTGATCCGTCGGAATTTTATACCATGATGATTATCGCTGGGACGTATGAAGCATGAAGAGTGCCCCGCCACTGATCGGAGAGCTATGGGAATAGAATAAAGGAGAAGAGGATATGGGCCTTAAGCCATCAATGCCCTGAAGTCAAGGAAACTACAGCCACGGATGGTCATTCCAGCGGCGGAGGGGGAACAGTTGCTCATGTTTAGTGTTTACTATGGCAAGACGTCGAGGGTTGCTTGCATATCAACAATAAATGTCTGCAAATTCAGTTCCCGTGTTAGCAATGTTGTGCATTTTAGTAAAGAGGAAAACCTTACAGATACTCGTGCTAGCTGATCCTGATAATCAAGTCATTCAGACGTGGTCGATTTCCTATTTGTACCATCCGAACGGAAGCCCTCGAATCCGCCTCCACGATGCTGTGTTGCAACGACAGTCATCTGCATTTCAGAGAGAGGCTCATTAGTCGAAGTCATGAATTAGCCCATGGGAAGATGAAAATAACTAAAGTCTGTTGAGTCGTAACCAGCCCATGCCGTCTGATATTGGCAAGTTCGGACCGAGCAACTTCTTATGGTGATGTTGCTGGGCTTCAAGCGCTCTAAACGACTCGTGGTGTCGCCAGGCTTGGTTTCACTCTCTCAAACAGAGAGTTCTCCATCGCCAAACAACGCATTGAACGCACATTGCGAAAGAGAGAGCACAGTGAAAGATGCTTCGAAAAAATGGAAGAAGCAAAGACCCAGGGTGTTTGAAACTTTCAGTCCAGGTTGTTGAATTCTGAGGGTAGGGCCCTATCCTTGTCGCCGTCATGCAAAGTCTTCCTTTTCATCACACTCTACAGTCCATATCATGCGCCCGCAACATTACACCGGCGGCCCCCAATGCCGGCATTCAGCAAAGTATGGAGAGACGATCGTAATCTCTCTCAGAGGTACTGGTTCCTCTCTTTGGCCGGACAATGGCTTTGGTGTTCTCACAAAAGAAAATTCCCGCAGAGAATGGAAGCTGGTAGCCTGGTAGTGAGGAGCGGGCCGAGAGCTGTACATGATGTGTCACATTGTTGGGGAATTCAACGAACAGCAATACAGTCCCGACTGAGGTGCAGATGCAGGGCGTCAACTATTGTTTCAGCAGTGCTGCATCTCATCTCGTTTGGGAAATTGGGGGGTGGTGGGTTGAACTGCCGGGGTCGGACTTGCGGAGGTAGATGATTCGGATGCTTTGCAATCGCGGACTTACTGGAGACTTGACAATCGCAGATTTTTTCCCTGCACCTGAGTACCGATCGCTTCTACTCCTTCCAACGAAGATGTTGGAAAATCCCGCAACTTCCGTCGAGATGCCGCAGCTTGCATACACTTTGCAGCAACACAATGTCATGGTCACAGAATCAGTCAACCGATCAAACAATCAGAGCCTCTTCTGTAGCACACGATCGATCGTGACCGATTGCGCCAGCATAACATGGGAGACCTGGTATCATGGGATGGTCGAGACTCAAGGTTGAAGCTTAGAGGCACTGACGGCCGCGTGTGACCGTAGACATTTCCTAAGGAGATGAGAGCATGAATAGCCGACTCTATAATCCGTGATTGATAATACCTCAGATCTTCAAGAGCGTTTCTTCAATGAGACATGCTCGTGATGGACTGGGATGTGGTTGGTGTGAGGAAGTGTTGATGGTTAGCGCTGCGTGTACCTTGTTGATGCAGCCTGAGGATGATGGCGCCAAACCATTAATGGCCTGCGTTGGGCCATTGCTGCGTTGTTGCTGCCTGAACGGTGCCTGAGTCAATGCCTGATATTCCTGGCAAGAAAGGACATGTGACGCTAACACGTGCCTGACTCTTTCTTGCAGCCTGAGCGCTGCCTTAGGATAAGACCCGGGGATGCCTGGGAGTTCAGGCCGCCGAGAGGGACCACACACCACGTGACTGCTAGTCCCGATTTGGCACCAGGCACCATCGCGAGATACGCAAATCGGCAACACACACCACGAGAGGAAAATCGTCAACACCACATTCCACCATGTCACATTCGCCCACTATGGCCTCGGATGGGCTCAATGCCGCGCCGCCTCCTCCGTCAAACCTCCTCGATCTCCCCTTCAATATTCAGACGCTTCGCTCCAAGTTCTTCACCCTCGACGCGCCCGTGACCATGTCCCTCTCCGAATTCAACGCCGCCTGGCGCTTCCTCGACAACATCTACGTGCGCAACCAGACCCGGCAGAGCAACGGTCGCACTATCGAATATTACTGGTGCCGATTATGGCGCAAGACAGCACATCAATCGCGGATCGCTCCGGAGGAGCGCAAGCGCAAGCGCACGGTCCGCGCGCCGGTCGCGTGTCCCTGCCGCGTTAAGGCGGTCACCGAGGGCGCGATGATCACCTTCTCGCGGCTTGGGGAGGCCCACAACCACGAGTACGCGGCGCTGGAACATAAGGTCACCTCCGGGGTGCGGGAGCTGGCGGCCAAGGAGGTGTCCAAGGGGTACAAGCCGAGTGAGATCGCGCAGATTCTCAAGAGTACAGGGAACGGGAATATGGATACGCTGCTGGCGGCGGGCGGGAGTGGGTTGACTCTGAAGGACATCCACAATGCGCGACAGTCGCAGACGCGGCGCAAGTCGATGCCGCCTGAGCGGAAGGAGCCAACGGAGCGGGATGAGCAGGCCAGCCGGGCGGCGGCGCTGCGGGGGGAACACATCCGGGAGGTGCTAGACGGACTACATCGGAAATACCATGAGCTAGAGTCGTTGACGGCGAGGTGGCCAGCGGAGGCGCGGGAGGAAGCGATCGAAAGCTGGATCAAGGAGCTGGATGAGCGCACGCAGAGCCTACGACGGGAATCCTTGGAGACGATCCGGAACCGGCTGAAACCGCAGTTCCAATGGGCGTTGATGGTGGTCCAGCCGACAATCGCAACGCCGACACAGAATGCACCCGGCCTGATCCCACCGGTCTACAGTGCACCGCCGGGTCTGCATCCACCGCCTGGTTTCATTGCTACCCCCGTTCGTATAGCCGCACCTGTGCAGAGTGCCACCCTCGGTCCGAGTCCGAGAGCGGCCTTTGGCGCAAGTTCTCCAGGTTCGGAAAGTGTAGCCCCTGTTTCTGTGGCACAACCCGGTCCTGTAGCAGCAACACCCGGGTCTGTAGGGAACGTAGCGGTGAAGTCACCTCCAAGCGATGACACATGAATTGATATGATACATGACAAACGATTTCTATGTTCTGTACAAGTAGCTGGCTATACAAGCTTAAATGCAAGTCTATGAAGGATGTTTAGGCATTGTTCGCGCACGAGAAACTCGCGCTCCCGGGATCGTCGTGTAGGGCTTTTCCGGATACGTAGAGACCCAGACCGCACTATAACAATTAGCGATGATCCTATACTTGGGTAGACAAACATACAATGCAGGCTGCAATGCCGATAATGAAGACATTGAAAATGGTCAACGTGGTCTTCATGGGGGTCGAGAAGTACCGGCCCTTATTGAGATGCAGCCAGAAGAGGGCGCTGAATCCGTCTGCAACAGTCAGTTAGTCCGAGAATTTCGATACAAGGACAGGTCGTAGAAAACCTACAAGTGAACCAGCTTGCAAAGAGCGACGCCTATCGTGTATTAGCAATGTTTGCGACAAATGTGGCTTGATGAAACATACCACCAAACTCAGCAGGTTATTGAACACGGGAATCGCCTCGGCGATAATCCAAGCGATGATCCAAGTCACCAGTCCGATCAGCACCCACGATCCTGCCGACACGAGATCACGCTTGTGCATGCGGTCGCTGTGCCGCCACAGCCGCACGTATATGTATTTGGCCGCGACATGGCCGTTGACCACACCGCCGATGATAATCTGTCACACTATCAGATATGGTTCGGACAGACGAAGGGAGAACTTACCGTCGGCAAGGCGACGCCGTACGCCACCTTCCGGACAACAGGACTAGCGGAGCCCAGCGCAGGAGATGTCACACCGTCACCGGTGTAGCAATAGATGACCACGGCAGCGACGATGTACAGACAGGTGTCGAGTCCTTGCAGCAGGAAGAGGGACTTGGGATAGTCACGGGGGTTTTTGAGTTCCGCCATAAATCCAAAGAAGGCAACGTGGCCGGCTGCTGGGGTCAGTGGATGTCTACAGAACAAAAAGAGAGTGGGACATACAGAAGGAGAACACGATGTTACAGACGGCGAGGAAAGCCTTGTACAGACTGGTATCAACCGTAGCATTGAGGCTTCCTTTCCACGGACGCTGGATACCCACCGAAATCATGACGATCATGACGGCCGAAAAGACGCTAATAAATGCTGCGGAGGATTAGCAACAAAGTCACAACGTAGGAAGGTAGTGAGCTGCAACGCACACGCAACCGAAAGGAAAGACACCTTGGAGAGCGTTCGGGGCAAACACAACACGAACGAAATGGCCAGTCCCACGACGCTAAAGACGATAGAACAAGTTCCGTGCTCAGTGATGTTGTTCATCGCGACGGCAAAGGTCAAGATATGGCTCGCCATGATGAAGACGACGAGCAGCAGCTGGCCCGTGCCGAAGAGTTCCCGGCCGAAAGCACCCAGTAGCACCTCGCCGGCGTCCGCCATGCTGTGGATGTGCGGATAGCGCCATTTGAACTGACCGATGGTGTAGCCGGTATAGGTGGACATCAAGCCCAGGCCTATCATCAAAATAATGGCACTAGCGGTCACAGTGAGTATCACATTGACAAGTTGTTATCGAGGTTACTCACGGGACCAGTCCAAGAGCAGCAACGACCGCTGGCAACGACAGGATGCCCAGAGACACCGTCTCGGCAACCATGACTACTTCATTAGCACTCCACCAGCTTCATTCCATGCAGGCCACTCACGGAAACCACATTGCCTAGTCCAGTCAGTGAAGTGAATTCCAAATAGAAGTTGCCAAACTCACCACCAGCTCAAGGTCTTGTACTTAACCTCGGCATGCTCCTCATCGCCAAACGCATCCTGATACTCCGGCTGGACATCCTGCTGCTTCTCAAAGTCATGATCGCTATCGGAGACACCCTGCGGATGCACGAAATCCGCATCCGCACCATGAGGGGACCCTGATGTTTTGAGCATCGAACCCAATGACGACAGGCAAGTGGTGACAGAGGACAGGCGTGGGCAGCTATGTACCGTTCAGCGGCGGACGAGTGGAGACACGAAAATTCTTAAGCGGCAGGAGAGCTCTGTCCTCGAGATGCCGTTCATGCGACGCGGTAAGGAGCCGTGTTCCAACGCGATATGATAAACTCTTACTACGCTGCAATCACGGAATCAAGATGAAGTCAAGATTCAGGTCAGTAACCACGTTGAATTCGAACGGACCGATAGTCAGATGGCGATAGATATGACTCAAAGCCTGACAGCCAAGCGGCGTCCTCGGCCCAAATCGCTCTGTGTGTTCCATCTGATCGTGACGCTCCCCGTGGAAATTGTACTTATGTGTTACCTAATGCCGAGAGAGTCGAGAGCCTGAGGCAAAAGACGACTGGAGAACCACGGGAATCGTTGGCCAATGGGAGAGAGAGGTCACCCCAGGCTTGCGAAAGACACGCCGCAATATGATTGGCTGGACAGAATTTTTTAGCCTAAAGGGGCGATTTATGCGATTAAAGTTCATGGAAGCGGGCCTCGGTTGGCGCTTTGAAGCCAATCAGAGGCGTTCTACTGCAGATCTCATGCAGTGCTTAAAATTTAATTCATTCAGGCACAAGAAAGGAAGGCTATGAACTTGTGAATTATGACAGATGACAGATGGAGTAGTGCTTCGAAAAGCATCGACTATGGGAACAGGTTATGATGTACTCAGTCAGCAAGGTAGTTTGGAGGTGAAGTTTTCATTAGGAAGAGCCGATTAGAAAAGCACGTAGTTGAGATGCACACATCCTGCAGGAATATATCTCCAGGCACAATGTCCACAACTGCACCGTGGTCATTCCCATTCTCGCCTCTGACTATTCGTAATCATAAAGTTGTTTCTGGGGTGGCACATCCTGTCGGAGAAGATACTTCTTCGCGTACCACGGTAACATCGCCCGGTAGTGGTTAACATGCTTGGTCGTCGGGACGGAAAAGACCTGGTCCAGCTCCTCGAGGGACAGGGCCTTGGTTTCCGGCAGGCAGAAGTAGCAGAAGATCCAACCGAAGAAGTTCCATGCCGCGTACCAGCCAAAGGCACCGGTCGGAGTAAAGGCTTTGTTCAGTGACGGCCAGGTCAGGGAGACGATGAAGTTGAAGCCCCAGGTGGTGGCTGTGGCGAAGGACATGCCGAGGTCTCGGATGTATAACGGCTTCGCTGGTCAGTACTTATCAAAAATGAGAGGGCGAGGGTCTTACAAATGCTTCAGCGGAGTACGTGAACGGCACTGGCCCCTCGCCGGGTGAGTAGACGACCATGAAGAGGTAGATGCCCGTTGCCACGCAGGCCGTGCGAGGCGTCAAGTCCGGGATGTAGAATGAGAACCCCGTGAACAGCAGGAACAGACACATCAGAGGAAAGGTCGTCAACAGCAGATTCCGTCGACCGAAAGTGTCGATGGTATACACTGCGGGGAGAGCGAAGATCCAGTTGGTGATGCCACAGCCCAGAGACGTGACAAGGGCCATACGCGTGCTGAGGCCTGCTTCTCGGAACATTGACGAGGAATAGTACATGATGGCATTGACGCCACAGAACTGTAAGAGTCAACGAGTGTCAAAGCCTGGAGTATCTGAGGACTTCGACTAACCTGCTGCATGAACATGACGAAGAAGGACGACTGAGCCGCACGTCGGTTCCGGGGGATGGTGAACATCTCACCAAGGAGGTTCTTGCCCTCGCGGAGTTTCTCTTCGATCTTCAATGCCGAGTGGATGTAATACAGATCTCGAGCTGCTTGGAATGAAGAGGGACGGAACCGACAGAGTGCGTTGAAAGCGTCCTCGTACCGGTCGCGCATCATGTACCACCTGGGTGATTCGGGGCAGAAATAAACCTGCATGCACACGAAGAAGGGTCTAAAATCGTCAGCAGTTGTGAACAACACTCAATGGCTGACTTACGGGATCGCAGTCGAGCCCAGCATCAATCTCCAGTTGAAGCCAGGAATGGTGGAGTGCGACACATCCATAAACGCAACTGACGCAATGTAGCCCAACATAATTCCAAACGCGGTCCACATCTGCCACATCATGACCAGAGCACCACGGATGTTCGCGGGAGCGCACTCGGCACCGTAGACTGGGGTGGTGGTGGATTTGGCACCCACCGCGAAACCAAGGAGAAACCGTCCCAACAATAAATTCCACCAGGTGTGAGCGGCTGCCATCCAGAACGAGGCGGCGAAGGAAATGAAACACGAGATGAAAATACAGCCGCGACGCCCGAACCAGCGATTCAGAGGTGCCGTGGTCCAGCATCCGATGAGCGCGGAGCAGAGGTAGGGTGCGCCGTTAAGAAGGCCTTGAAGCCAAGTGTCGGTGACATTGAACTCAGCAAAGTAAAATCTGTTCTTATCAGTATCGTGCAGGAAGGATGGATTGCGGATAGGTATACTCTTGCGCGCCGTTGACAGCCGTTTGATCCATTCCTTGCACAATTGCAGATCCAGCACAGAGAACTGATGCATATTTAGACAAGGCATGAGCTGTGAGAAGGCAACATACTGGTCATGAAGTACATCATGAACGGCTGATTCCAGCGATGAGTCTTCTCCCGACGGAGGAGCTCTTTCTCGCCCTCTGACAGATCGTCCATCTGCTCAAACCCTCGAGGGTCTCGGGCAACGAGTGCACCTTTCCTAAGGTCATCGAGGATATGTTCGAGGTGCTTCTCCCGAGCAAAAGCCTCGACATCGCTGAGCAGTTCCTCGCGACTCAACCCTGCCAGCGGATTCTTGAGTTTGGTGTTGGTGGTTTTGGGCTCGGACCCATCGCGAGCCCACTCCCGAGCAGTTACTGCGTCGGCGGCGTCATGTTTCTCGATGGAATTGGATGATTCATGGTGGGAGAGGGTGGGAGCCTCTGGGTCAGAACTCTTCTCCCCCATGGTGGCAGATCACTGACGGCGGCCGGGGGTCGGGTGGGTATAGTGGGTAAAGTTGGGGGGAAATACCGCACAAATGAGAGGTTGTGAACTTGTGACAGGAAACTCTGGGGAAATGTCCCCGGAGGAGTCGACAACAGCCTTTTATGGCTGAGTACTCCCCGGCATCTTTCTTGCTTCCTGACAGGGATCTTGATTTGCTCCTGGCAAGATCATTTCTTGCGCTGACTCGGTAACCTTCACTCCAGCCTCAAACAGGGCCGCATGCATCTCAGGCCAAGAGCAGTGGGGTTAGAACAAAGACACAGATGGCGTAGATGGCTGGCGGCCGGCGTCCCTAGTGCGGTGATGAGGCAACGCCTTATGCGAAGCGGGGATTGCCCTGTTGAACGGACCAGGGTGGAATTACCCTGATTGAACGGTTGAAACCCAAGGATGTAATACTAGAGCGGCTCGATTAAAGTCATGACTGTGCCAAGGCAGTCAGAAGTCCATGCACTCTTCCAGTCGTTATCAGGCAGTCTACGGAGTACAAGGCTGAGTGATGACTCCGCAATCTCACCAATCGATGATATCTCCAAGGTAAGGCACGCTGAGAGCGCAGTGATATCCCAGTCTGTCAATTGAGTCTCAGGGAAGTCTCACAGCATCATGAGTATGCCATATAGACTTTGCTTTGTCCACAGCCCGCAGTCTTGTGGAGGGATGATCGGCGTGGGAATAAGCTCGGCATGCTTGGCGCCCAGACCGGAGCAACCAGTCATGGTGGGAAGGACGGCGGAGGCCAAGCAGTACTGTGCCCAAGATCATCGCAAATGATGCACTCGGGTGGAGGCCAAGAAATCGGGCATAGAGTGGCCTGAGCGGATCGAGACAATTCTCGGACATATGAATTCAGAATTGTTGTGGAAGACTATCTGGGTCTCTAGTCCTCATGACCGACCGGGGTCAGCTCCCAAGGCTGGAATTCCGCAATCGGCGATGATGTTACTACACTGGAGTGGATGATGCTGTCAGTGCAACATGGCGAATGCCTCGTGGCATGGACCCCCGCACATTCCAACCACGCTGTGAACAGCAAGCCTAAAGCTAAAGTTCATCGAACGTCCACCGATAGATCCACAAAGAGTATGGAGTATATCTGGACCATTCAAAGGTCGGATTACGCCGATATTAAGATCGACTTGCTCTTTAGCGAGGCTGCGCAGCTCAGAGAAGGATTCAACACCACTGGCAATCTGACCCTTCTCGAGTGAAGCCGCATGGGATGCATCGTCCCACGTGACGTGCCACACGACACAGACGGAAACAGACGAGGAATGTGGACTTACAAGCCACACTACTCTGTATTGTGGTTTCAAGTCACAATGTGCAGAAAATAAGGGCGTGGATTCCATCGTCTGTTCCTGGACTCCCTGCGCCGCGCTTGTTTAAAAAGACTGTCACTCATGGATCCAGCACTCGATGTCCAAGGGCAGATATGTGATGATGTCCATAAGCTCAGGGAGAGTGCAAATCAGAAACTCATTGCTAGAAGAATGTCCGCTTCAACAGGTCGAATGATTCCCTTACTCTCATGGCTCTGACTGTCGAAGGACCAAGGAGATGAAGAAGCTATGGGCTGACTGCATAGACGACTCGACCTCAAACATTAAACCCTGGCCGTTTTCCTTAATGGAGACGGACCATCTACGCTTACCACTATGTTCCAGGAAGCGAGAGATGATAATCATCCTACTGAACAACTCCTGTGTCTCTGTGCTCGGTGGAATGAATGGGCAAGATCAACCCTTCACAGCTCTGACATAATCATGTGTGAATCCGGATAATTCACCTCGAATGTATCACCGCGATGCTCGGTTTATTCCCTGCTTGATTAGTGATTACGGTCGACTTAGCGTGAGCACCATAGCTCGATGTGGTGATTGATGCGGGTTTTCCCGTTTGCTGATGGGTGGCCCAATATCCTCCAGGCAGCATGTCTCACTTTGCAGGATTATAGGATTATAAATAGGCAGACAGCTCTTCCCCATTTTGATGAACATCTTCATCTCACTTTCAGCTGACTGAATGCACAATGGCACTCGGGAGCTCCTGCAACCTTCTGTCAAATCCCTCCTTCGAAACGGGGACTTTGCAGCCATGGATCACATCCGCTGTTAATATGGCGAAGGTCAGCAATGGTACCCAGGCATATAGCGGGGATTACTATCTGTAAGGGGCTTGGAATTCCATCTCACCGATCTCCTTCAGTAACACGCCGCAGGGACCTCGAAACCGCGGTTGGAAATCGAGGCATTACCATCTCGCAGGTTGTCAAGAACCTCGATCCCAGGCTTGACTACACCTTCACCATGCATGTCCAATCGTCAGCACTGGCCGCGAATTACTGTTCCTTCTATGCATATGCGGGTCTCAACGCGACTACCGGGTTCATTGCTTCCGACACCCTGTATGACTCCGGTGAATGGACATTGGTCACTGGTCAATACCGGCCGAAGCTCTCGAGGGAGTTCCTGAACATTATTGCTAGTTGTACTTTCGAGGATTCGTCAAATACTGGGCATGTCTTTATCGATGATGTTACTTTGAGCGCCTCGGATGGTTGTCCGTCTGCTGAGTGAGATTGTTGAGAAGCTATGGCCAGCTTAAAAGGAAACATATGCTTGGGAGTCAATGGATTCGATGCTGGATAAGATCGTGCTGAGCACCTCAACGAACTTGGATATTTTTCTCTAACTGCGTTGGCGATTCATCTTGATTGGCTGCCTGAAAAGGGTTGTACTACTGAAACAACTGCCAATATAATGGTCACAATCATCTCCACGTTCATTCATCGTAGAGTTTAATCTCCTCACCATAACAATTCAGTTTTTCTATATATCTATGCATTTACCGGGGCCACGGAGGTCAAACGCTGATGAGTTGTGCCCAAGTCGTGGGTTCCGGGGGAGCCTTAAGCAATATCGAATGTATTCGGAACCCCAGTCGATACGTTCAGTCATAAGGATAGCACTCAATCGATCAATGACCACAGATTCATTTCAGCAAATCCTCTCACTGCCTCATCATCTGGTGGTACTTTTTCCATCTCCTAGACAACACCCAATTGGAGAGATACAAGCAATGTGATACCTCATATTGAACTGCATCAACACCGGCTTACTGCAAGCAGAATAGTGCGACATCTACACTTCAACTTTTTTTTTTCACGATGGACTTTCTTTCTTTCTTTCTTTCTCTCATGTGTGCAACTACTCGAAGACTTCCGTCATGCTCGCTGGGCTCCCTGCAGAAATAGTCTTGCTAATAGCCGAATCGCTCGAGAACGGCTCGGACGTGGTGAATCTAGCACGATGCTCCCATCAGTTGCACAGGATCACAATTCACCAGGCCTACAGATCCATTGATATTAAACATTACTGCACGGTGTCCTTGTCCACATTGGTAAACACGCTCTTCCAGAAGCCGAAATATGCGCAAAGAGTGCAACGCCTCAGCTTCAACAAACTCCAAGCTCACTTGCACCAAGACCACGACGAGAGACCATCTGCTGTCCGGGCCCTGAGCCCATTTGTCATGGAAACTGTGAAGGAACTGAGTTCTTGTCCAGCGGAAAAGAACGAATGGGTGGCTGCCTTGTCTGCAAACACGGACCCAGACGAGATGAGCAGCGATGCATGGTTGGCAGTCTTGCTCTGCTGCGTGCCCAACATCGAATACCTGGAGATGGAATGGGGCTCCCCCAGCTCCGTATTTTCCTCGCGGTTATTGAACCGTGCCGCGTTGCGGAGAGGCGCGTTCTCTAGTCGTCTTCTATTCACCCGGCTGCGCGAGACCTCGATCAAAAGTCCCTACGAGGAGCTCGAGCCTTACCCGCTGGAGAAAGTGGCGCCGTTCTTTCGATTCGAAACTATGCGGAAATTTCGAGGGTCGCGGCTCTGCGACATGGACGATCGATGGCCCAACAGGTTCAGCATGATGGTACCCCTGGGTACATCCTCGGTTGAGCACATCGAGCTCGAGCAAGCACATTCCGCCCGCGCGTTCCATACCTTCATCAAGGCGTGCAAGAACCTCAAGACCTTCCGACATCTTCAGCGGCGATCGTACGGCACCTACCTCCACAGCTACAGCTTCCACTTCCCGAACATGCAGTACAACCGCTTCAGCCAGTTCCTGGAGCGGGCGAGGAGGACGCTGGAAAGCCTGCACCTCGACCACTACTACCAAGAAGATGGAGATGACTGTAACGACTGGATGACTGACTGGTTCGGCAGCCTGAGGTCTTTCAAGAAGCTGAAGCACGTCCATTTGCGAATGCGCCGGTTCGTCGTGGCGGATTACGATACCGAGAAGGTGGTGATTGGCTTGAAACGCCTGCTGCCGGCGTCAATTGAGCATCTGTCGCTTTCGGATCTGGACGGGCCGCAATTCTGCGTCGCTATCAGTGAGTTGAGGCGTTTGGTTGCGGCGCGCGACAGGTTTCCGAATCTCACGGCGATCTCGCTCGAAGGGAACTGGGGTGGTGGATATTCCGCGAGGGCCACGTCGCTGCCAAAGCGAGAGGTCATGGCTCTGAGCGAGAAGCTTTGGAAGGACTGCGAGCGGGCGGGGGTTTCCCTTAATCTCCGCAGCAATCGAGCCCCTGTCAGCCGGTATGGAGGACTCCAGGAGCGCTGGGTACATTATTTCCTGGACGGGTGATGTAGAACAATCATATTGCGTATTCCAACATGGGCAGCCTCAATTGATATATACCTGGCTGTATTGGCCGCAAGCTATATACATACATATGTACACGCGTCACTGGGGTTTATACTTTCGCAAACACCTCCCATTTTCCCTGGATACAGCGACTAATCATCATGACTATACCCCCCGCCATCGAGGTGACACCCCCGAAGATCCACATGGCATTGAAGCCGCGGTCCTGCAGGATGGCACCGGCCACGGGCGACCCGATCAGATTCCCGATCATCATCACGCCGTATCCCATGCCCATACGCGTACCGATCAAGCTCCTGTCCGGCGAGAGCTTGACGAAGCACGTGGGGGGCAAGGAGACGACGGCGCCGGAGAAGAAGCCGTAGAGAAGCGAGACAATGACCGCACCGGGGAGATTGGACATATCGACGAGAGCAACCACCGTGCCCCCGCAGATGATGCTGCAGATGGAGATGATGTTGAAAGCGCCGATTTTATTGGCGAGGTAGTTCGGCAGGATACGGCCGAAGATAGATCCCGTCGTGATGATGGAGAGGAGGTAGAAGGGCAAGTCGCCCGCGGCGAGGTGTTTGGTGAGCGCAAAGTACTGGATGTAGTAAAAGGGTATGTTGATGGTGATGTAGGCGAGCATGGCGCCGAGGACGAACACGGTATACGCTGGCTCTTTGAAGGCGGGGAGATCCAGGATCTTGCGCTTGCCGGCTGGCTTGACACGAACGCGGAAGATGAGCAATGGGATGAGGAGTGAGACGAAGATGACGAGGCCGATGGCGCGGACGGTCCAGCCGAAGCCGATCCGATCGATCAGCCGGTGAAAGATGATGGGGTAGATGATGCCGCCTAGGACTTGTTAGCTGGGATATAGACTTTTTCCTGGCGAATGCCTACCCAAGCCGCTCCCGGCAGCCGCAACACCAGTAGCCAGGGCAAGTCGGTTGCTGAAATACGTGGAGATGATAGCGACCCCAGGGATAAAGACGAGTCCCGTTCCAATGCCCACGCAGAATCCCTGCGCTAGGAGCACCTGCCAGTACTCGCGGCAGAGGCTGATCATCATCGTGCCGAAGACGATGAGGAAGGCGCCAGAGTGCATCAGGACGCGAAAGTAGCCGGCATCGTAGAGCGGACCGGTCGCAAGGCCGAGAATCAGCAGCAAGGACGACTGCACGGATCCTATCCAGGATATAGTGGACGAGGAGGCAGAGAACAGAGCCTGGGTTTCATAGTACGTCTGGTACGCACCGAACGTGTTGAGATTGCCCCTGACTTGTCAATTGTGATCGATTGATAATCCCAGGAATAACATACCATGTACTGAAGTAGACGAAGAATGCTGCGAATACCTGGATCCAAGCCTTGAGGCCTCCGTCCGGGATCGAAGTTACATCATTTACGGAGGCTTTCTGCTCGGGCTCGACAGCCTCGACATCCGTGGCCTTCGATTGGGCCATGATTGTCCGATGAAGGTTTTTCTAAAGTCCCTGGGACGAACTCAGGGGTAGCTAGCTTTATGTCGGTGTTGGTCCAGCCATCGTTACTTATCATGATGGATTTCAAGATCAAAAAGAAGTTAAGCCAGCAAAGGATTCAATCGGGAAACCCCCCGCTGGGCCACCTCCGCAGTCTGTGATTGGCTGTGGGGGATTTGCCCCAGATTGTGCAATCGCCGGCTGCTTCTGATTGGCTGTTTACGTTTATCTTACTGATTAGTCTCTCCCTTTCGGAAAGTACTACGTATTATCCTCAATAAATGTAACCTGATTGGTGGAAAGGCTCACCAGCGGAGGAATCCGAGGCGGAGTGTGCCGCTGTCATCTCCTGCCGGTTTGGTTCTTCCATCTCTCCCTGGACGCTGTGTGTCAGGAGTGCTCGAGTTCATGAAGAATGCTTGACCGCCCAGCCTTCGAACAGGTCCATTTCTGCACGTGGAAGAGGTCTCGCTGCGGTCGCGAGAGACGTCTCGCCCGTTTATCTGGCTCGGAGAACCGGGTGGCGCCGAGCAGGACGTTGGTCTAAGGGAGCAAACAGACCGAACGACACGATTTGGCGCATCCTGCTCGATATATGGGAATGGATTGATCTTGGGCACAGTATTACAATGTCAAACGATCCTAACCAGATCTATATGCATTACTTTACATCATGATATCTCCCCCGTCTGCCGCTCCGGAAGCTCTATTGGCCCATCGCTTACCGAAATCTGCACCGTCTTGACAATTCGATTCCCCACTGACGACCGCGGCGGATCCAGCATCCGCTGCCAGCAGTAGTTGTAGTCCACCGTGCCCAGCCGACGCGACCCGCTGCCGGACGAGGTATGGCTGCGGTACTTGGACTGGGCCGGCGAGACATCGTCCGTATACGCGATCCCGTATTCGTCGACATACACTGCGAGCACAGGCTTCATGAACGAAGCGACCAGGCAGACGACACTGAGGGCGAGGTAGAGCTCTGCAGTGATGGTCGCAGAGGCGCCTTCCAGCGTGGGGGTGACGGAGTCGAGCTGAACCTGGATGTAGTGGAGGTGGATGGCGGCGAGGGGAAGGAGGCTGGTAGGTCAGCACATATGTATCAATGCAGAAGAGAGATAGACGTACATGAGGCGACAGCTGAGCGTGCCGAACACGACGATCTTCTGCCGTCTGGAGATCTTGATGCCGCATATCGCATGTCCGGAGTGGAGGACCAGGAGACTCTCGAGGATGATGTCCATCGCCGTGATGGCCTGCCATCGCGCGAACTGCGTCTGTCAGTATAGGTACTCTACAGTGGAGTGATCCCATACCATCCCGCTGCACCGCATGCTTATATCCTCCCATGGCTGACGCGAACAGCGGACGCTTAGTAACACTATTGACACAAGAGACCAGACGATCGCGCCGATAAGAATGCTCTGGATAAGCGCGCGCAGTTTCTGTTTGAACAAGGCAAGATAAAAAACTGCCGTGGTGATCTTGGATAAACCGAGTCCGAGCACGAACAGGATATCTGCCACGTACCCCAACTGCTGGAGTCAGTCGACGAAAACCAACACCGATCGGGCCGGATTACCTTGAGCGCAGTTATTTTCTCCCTCGGCGACATCGTATCCTCCTTCGTTCCCCAGCCATAGTGAACCTGTGCGAGAACGAGCGATGTCTGCACGAGCGCAACCACCACCACAGCACCGAACCCGTAGTCATCCCGCTGAACGATATGCCGCTTATACGAAGAAAACGCCCGGGCACACAGCGAGGAAATAACCAGCACCAAACAAAACCCAGTGATGACGACAATCAACCCGGAGTGGTTATCGGCGCGATTCACCGTAGGCGGGCCATTAATACCTGATGGCAGAGCCGTGGCGATCGGCATGACGGATTCTCAATAGATGCACGAGAAGCATGATGAGGACTGGATGGTAAAATGGATATAAGCAGCCGCAAGGCCACGATATATGGGCCGGCCAGGGAGGTCGGGCGAGTCTTACACGCTTTAAAGGGTCATGGATCGGGGGATTATAGGCCTATTCAGCAGAGCCAGTTCGAATTCGAATCTCACGCGCGCCGAGAGGAGCAATGGACAGCCACTGGCGAATGGCGCTTCCAGAACGGCCGTAGCTGCATGATCATCCCAGCGATACAGGGATCGTGGTGTCTTCTGACCGGGAATCAGGCTGAGTGGCGTCGCTACACACCGTTTGCTTCGACGTAGTGCTTTCTTGTGTGAGATTGAGGAATTCTAGCAAGGTTCTGAAGAGAATGCTGACAAGTTATGCTTATCACCACGTCAGCGGCGAGAGGTTTCCATCATGCCTGAAGTGGAATATGAAGAGGAGAGAGAGAGAGAGAGCATGGGCATGGGCCGTGGTGGAGATGATCTATATCAGCCTGCAGTATGCGCTCGAACGCCTCCTCGACAAGTTAATGAGCCCAGAAATACGACACCAATATAACTGCAAAGCCATTAGGTTCATAAGCCCAGCGATCAGCACGACAGCACATGCTTGTGTAACCCCCCCACCTTGCATGCTTTGTCTGTTCTCGTCAGCATCATTCCACTCCCCCCCCCCCCCTTGCTTTTTTTTTCCTGCATTTTCTATTCTCGTCCCCTTCCACCCTCTAGCTATGGATCTTATCTCACCCCAACCGTCAATGGTTGATACATCAATGGTATCAAATCACAACACACCGGCCAGGATGCAGACAGGGTCCAAGGCGCCGGTGATGGCAGAGCTTCAGGTGGAAGCATGCCCTCCTGTCGCGAAGAACACGGGAACGGTGTACGACGACCATGATATGCAGCGCATGGGCAAGGTGCAGGAACTGAAGGTAGAGCGCTGTCATCTCTTGCATCGCTCGCGTCTAACCAGAAATCACAGCGAAATCTTCGTCCGTTGGCTGCGCTGAGCTTTGCGTCTGTTCTCCAGGCGACGTGGGAATTTATCCTCATGTCCGTAGCTATCGTCCCTTCAGATAATCAACACTGACAGGCCTCAGTTCCAATACGCAGGGGTTGCAGAATGGCGGCCTTGCGGGGATGTGCTGGTCATATGTCTGGACCTTTGTTGGTTTCGGCTTCATCATTGTGTCGCTGTCGGAGATGGCCTCGATGTAAGTCATCGCCTGCATTGGCATCAACAATCGCAGCTAATGATTATTCAGGGCACCTACCTCTGGAGGACAGTACCACTGGGTTTCCGAGTTCGCGTCGCCGCGATACCAGAAATTCCTCAGCTACATCACCGGTACGCCCTCTCCTCTTCCATGATCGGCTCGTACTAAGAAGCAGGCTGGATGTCCGTCCTGGCATGGCAGGCTGGCTCTGCATCCGGCTCGTTCCTCACTGGCACCATCATCCAAGGACTCATCAGCGTGCGCAACCCGGACTACAGCCCGAAACAGTGGCAGGGCACGCTGTTCGTCTTCGCCATGATCGTCGTGATCTACTTTTTCAATGTCTACGCGGCGGATCTGATGCCGCTGTTCAACAACTTGCTCATGATCCTGCACATTCTCTCTTGGACGGTAATTGTCATTGTGCTGTGGGCAATGGCGCCGCACCAGCCGGCACGAGCGGTCTTCACCGAGTGGACAAACCACGGCGGCTGGTCGAGCATGGCGCTGAGCGCGCTGATCGGGCAAATTTCTGCCATTTACGCATCCCTGAGTACGTTTATCGTCTGCGCTGAGAATGGACTGAACTGATTGCAATGGACAGGCTCCGATGCAACGGCGCACATGTCGGAGGAGGTCAAAGACGCCGGCCGATACGTGCCAATTGCCATCGCATGGGGGTACTTTAGCAACGGGATCATGGCGATTGTTGTGCTGATTTCGCTGCTATTCGCCATCCCTTCTGTTGAGGACGCGCTATCTGACCCGACCGGGTTCCCGTTCATTTATGTGTTCAAGAACGCGACGTCCGTGGCCGGAGTCAACGGTTTAACGGCCATCATCCTCCTGCCGGTCATCTTCAGCAACATCCTCTTCAACGCCTCCACATCTCGCCAGACCTTCGCCTTTGCCCGGGACAAAGGCCTCCCCTTCGCACGATGGATCGCGACCGTCGACCAACGCCGCAAGATTCCCGTGAACGCGATCGCGCTGTCGTGCATCATCAGCTGCCTGCTCTCGCTAATCAACATCGGCTCGCTGACGGCCTTCAATGCCATCATCTCGCTCAACGTCGCCGCGCTCATGTACACGTACATCATCTCGATCAGCTGCGTGATCTACCGCAAGATCTGGCATCCGGACACCCTTCCGCCACGACGGTGGGATCTCGGCCGCTGGGGGCTGGCGGTAAACGTGATCGGGCTGATGTACTGCGTGTTTGCGCTGTTCTGGGCGCTGTGGCCGAGTCAGACACCCGTGACGGTAGACAATTTTAACTGGAGCGTGGTGATCTTTGGAGGAGTGTTAATTCTCAGCCTGGTGATGTATGTGGTCAAAGGGCGGAGGGAGTATCGGGGGCCGGTGGTGATTGTCCAGCGTTAGTCTCACCTCTTTTGCCTGACCACCGAAATAAAAGTATAATCGTAGCCTATTGTTTGAATTGGTCCGCTTCCCCGCGAGTGGCGAGAGAATCGCCAAGATGAGGATCTTGGCTGTGCAGCGTACAGCCCGGGATCTGCGCATCCTGCGACGAGCACAGATCGCCTGACAGGGCTATGTCAGTGACTGTATATATATATCCACTCTTGTCCCATTACATCTACGATCAACAACAATCATCGATACACCTAATCATGGCCTTTCAAGATACTCACCCCTTTATAATGGGCTTGCGTGGCGCCGCCCTCCTCACCTCCGCCGCCGGGTTCATCGCCTTCGCCTGGAGTCTCAAGGAACACGAACGAGAAAATGTCTTTGATGACGGCGCCGGCAGTATCAGCGCCATCGTCCTGGGAACGGTACCGCCCCTGTTCTAATCTCTGATCCGCAGATACTAACCGTTCAGACTGCATACGCCTGTCTCTGGTCTCTAGTCCTCCTGACAGTCCGTCTTCTCATGACAGGATGGATTCACCCAGGCGTATACATCGCGTTCGATATGATTGCATTCCTGGCCAACACCATCGGCGCGAGCATGAGCCTTGCGGTCCTGGCGCCGGTCATGAGCGGAGAATATAACTGCCGTCGACGAGGGTGTCGGGGGGATCTGCTCATGCGGGTTGAGGTATTTGGGTTCGTGGTTGTTTATATCAATGTGTGAGTTTTCCTGGGGGTTCTCCTCCAAGGGCAGACAGATTTGACTAACTTTTCAGGGTGGTTTATCTGATCTTGACGGCTTGGGCTTGCTGGGCTTGTCACTGCGAGCGGAGGAAGGCTGTTAAGTAATGGTTGATGGTTGATGGATATGGGAGGGAAGACCTACATAATATCTAATGTCTAATGTCTAATGTGTTCTCTGTGTGTTGACTTTGTCACGAATTATGAGGGATGATTGTCTACTATGCCTAGCTATTGATATTTACAAATAGGGCCATTCCAGAAGACCATTTAGCTGTCAAACCACTAGTTACAGTATGATTGGCGAATGGAGCAGTTGGGTATAAATCATGCTGATATTAGGACATCTCACTTAATAGACAGGACTCTGCCTTGGCGTTCTTCTCATTTTGCTGGTCTACTGTCCTCATTTGATGCTGCGCCATGTCAATAGTGGTTATCACTCTACTCAATAGTCAGGATTGTGTTGGTCAGTTCAATGGATATGGAATAAAATAGAACTATTTGGCTAGCGCATGGCTAGTAGGCCAAATCGACGATGCCATTGCCCAGGACATCATTGCGTATCCAAAGGATACAACATACGCGAATCAGATGTTTGACGCCATTCGGAGCATCATACTCAGCCAGGGCATCTCACACTCTCGAGTGACATACAAAAAGGCTATCTATATGCAGAGAGACAGCTTCGCTACAGTTAAACAGTATGTAAGCACCTTCAGAAAGGAAGTACAACTTTCACATGAGCTGCACTGCATCATAACACCACACTGTGCGGCTCTCTTTCTGCTTAACCAACTGAGGAAGGAGCTACCGCGCTGGGTGGAAACCACTGAAGTCAGACTCTCTGAAGGCTGGGAAAGGAATGCAACGCTAGGAAACTTTCATAACCTTTGCCGGATGGCTATTGATAAGGCTAAGGAAGTTGAATTGAACAGCAATTCCGCGGCTTCAAAGGATTAATCCTCCAAGCAGAAAGCTCCCGAAATCAACCCCAATTTGCAGTCGTCAAATAAGCAGAATCATAGCCAAAGTGGAAGAATGCTCTTCCACAGGGCACCCCTGCGGCACTGCATGCGGAAAATTGGAATCAACACAGCCCTGAAATGGTGAACAAACAACAGGAGGGCGAATCTTCCAAACAGCATCTCCTACATCTTGTCCAGAGGGAACAAATCACCTAGATACGCCAGGGCAGCCGAGCACCTACGATAACGAACATGCGGAATCGATCCCACCAGCAGGGTCCTGGAGACGAGAATGTGGACGAGTTTGTGAGACGATGGCGCCAAACGCCACGATTGGAGCCAGGACGCTGCGCCTACTGTTTGAAGGACCATGGCGAAAAGGGCTGCTACTATCTTTGCCCTCACTTGAGAACTCCTGGTTGGCAGCCCTCCCCGAAGATCTGGAAACCCCCCGCTGGCTGGCTGGTCTATCGGCTACACGGTTGCACCTAGAAAAACTCGGGAGTCGTCTGACCGTCCCTCTGATCACTCCTCTGATTCCTCTTCTAGAGTCTCCTTCAACATCTGCAACGACATTTTCATGCGTTCAATAAGTATCGACCATTCAGAGCTCACCAGAAACCAGTCACGTACAGTGTTGCCCGCAAGGATATGGCAGATAGCCTAGCTCTTGAGGAATAAGCCATCTTGACCACAGATCAGAACATAACATGTTTAGTACGGAGTAGACTGAGTAGATACCTATCTTCTCCTGGCATGACTAAGTTGTCTGTGTCCACCCAACAAGCCTATCAGTTGCATGCATCTGATTGGCTGTGGTGCAATCTGCAGCCAATCGCAATGGATACAGTCAACCCCGTGCTTTGTCATCGATTTGCATGACGCAATTGGCTGACGATAAGCTTCGGCCATTCTCGCTCCTTTCTTCTCTCCGTCTTGTCCTCTTCTTCCCTTCTTCCCTTCTTCCCTTCTCACTCTCTTTCTTCCATCTCACTCATCATACCCCCTCCATCCATGGCTTCATGCCCTTCAATTCCACCACTATCAGCTCCGTAGGTCTCGATCGACATATCAGGACCGCCGTCGCCGAATATGTCTACCCAACCTTCATCGCGTTGGCCTGGTGCAACGCGATCGAGCTGATCGTGCTCTGCTTTAACACCTTTCAACGCTACCGCGGTTCCTACTTCTGGTCGCTTCTCCTTGCTTCCTTCTGTATCATCCCGTTTGGCCTCGGCTACATGCTCAAATTCTTCAACATCACCTTCACAAACTACTTTCTTGAGCTGGTCATCCTCGACCTCGGCTGGTCGGGCATGGTCACGGGTCAATCGCTCGTGCTCTGGTCGCGGTTGCATCTGGTCCTGCACGACAAGCGTGTTCTACGTGGGATTTTATGCTTGATTCTTGTGGATGGGGCGGTGTTGCATTCCACCGCCACGGCCCTGGAGATCGCGGCCAATGCGCTCCCGCTTTCAAAAGGGGTCGTGGCTGCGTTTGGCGTTATCGAGCGCATTCAGCTGGTTATCTTCTCCTTGCAGGAAATCCTGCTGTCTTCGCTGTACATCTACAAGGCCATACCACTGTTAAAGTTGGATTCGGATGGAAGGGCGCACAAACTGCTGGTGCAGCTGATCATCATCAACGTGGTGATCATGACGCTGGATGTCTGCGTGGTCGTCGTGCAGTATCTGGGGTATTTCACCTTCCAGGTCACCCTCAAGGCCTTTGTGTATAGTATCAAGTTGAAGCTGGAGTATGTGATTCTGGGCCGATTGGTGGATGTCTCGAATATGCGAGCACAGCCGCAGGCTCCACGGTTGAGATCATAACCGCTATCACTCTGCATATACACTATTATCTGAAGCGTTCAAGCAATAGCAAGTACGATAGAACAATTCACGTATATAGACACCAACTTCTATTTAACTCATTCCTATCCTTGTTGGCAAATGTATTCAAGACCTGCACTTCATCCAGCGTGGTATCTTAACAGGGAGCGAAATTGGTGGACCAGGTTCATATAGACGAACGAACATCTGCCATTCCTCTTTCGTCCTGCGCTCCTCAACTCAGCGATAGCTCTTAGGCGTTCTCAAATCGTCCATCCCGTACCATTAGTTCCAGTCATCTCTGTATCAATCCACCTGTCAAGATATCTCCCTCTTCCGTGATCTAACTTTCCGTTGCTGTGATATCATGCTCTTTCATATCACCTATTGTTTGTATGTGTCTGTGGTGCTCCCAAAATATCGATTCAGGCACTTCCAGAATCCGGCTGACAAATCCCACTTAGATATCGCCACAAGCGGGCAACGGACATGAAGGGATGGATTCGCACCTCTTCCGAATGTTCAGAGGATCTGTTCGAGCGCCAGCCCTCTGAGTAATGGTACATGGGCCAGCCAGATTTACTGACAATTAGGCAAGCACACCGCACCGTCGTGGAATGGTGAACAACCGCGGCCAGATAGATCTGGTCAAAGTGGCTGCAGACGCCGAAAAATCCCCGGGTAGTGTCCAGATAATTATCCATATGTCGTGATCCTCACTGGAGAGGAATTTATCATCTCATCAAGAGGACCAACCGACGGGTGACAGGTCACAGGTGACAGATCACAAGTGTATAGTCGAGCTTGTTGAGAAGCCATCAACGACCGGTTGATACAAAACACCACACACACAACACAGACAGTGGCGTAGGAGAAGTCGTGACCGTATAGAACAAGGCCAGAGCCAGGGCAGCTTGATGAAGCGGCAGTGGCCTATAACCAGTCATCTGTGGTTTCCAGTAGCTGATCCAATATCACTCAAACATTTTGTACGTGGTGTTCTCCTCGATCACGCCGTATAAAAGTCTTTATATGACTTCAGTCCTACTGAAGAACAAAACATTCCATAGTTGCAGGTCTCGGAGTATAGAACTGCTGCTGCCTGTGTTCAAATATCTTGATCATAACACAGAGATCAGTATTGAAAGAGCATGGATGATGGAAGAATTTGGAGATAAGAAGATGCCTAAAGGGATGGAAATCTACTTTAAATAGTAAAGTGACTAGCATAACAGAAGAATGCTGTGGTTGAATAGGATTCTGAGACATGTCGATAGAGTGAATGGCCAGGTAAAGGACTACCCAGATTAGAAAGGTCTGGATGGCTATAAATAGAATCCAACAACAGATTTTGTACTATAATAAGTGGTCCTTGATTTGCATTGACACTCAGAAACTAAAAGACTTGCTATGATATTTAATTACTATGTGTTATACCTTCTCAGATAAGATGTCACAAAAATAATCATACATATATAGTCAGATCTGTTAAAGCTAACAACTAGTGTTGCAAGTCCACTAACAATAGACATGGCCTTCCAAAGCAACTTCTGACACAACTGGCTTTGATTAACTGTCAAAGCATGCAGGAAGGTGAAAGTCTCATGAGTAGTCTCATCCTTTTGAACAGCCACACATGTACAGATGGCCTGTCTAGTCCATAACACTGTAGCAGAATGTCACTTCGTTTATCTCTCTAAACAATAGTCATGACGGTCGTGCTCTCAATATCCTCGGTTTGGATACAGCCTTCGACAAAATGACCCAACGTCGTACATTCACTTTTAAGGGATAAGTCATACATCAACCACGATTATCAACCCACTACAAGGCAGTGATGGAGTACGTTATCCAAGTGCTGGACCATTGATTATGGACCCTTTATGGTTGTACACATTACTACTATGCCCTGTGAATCTATTCCTGTGTCTATAAACTCCAAACACCAGATCCTATGGTAGCCACCTCACTGTCAATTTCATCATTTGTTGAAGACCCTGGTACTGGTCTCTTGGTAAGGTACTTACCAGACTTTTTGTCCGATGGTGCAGGAGGCTGTCTGACAGACTGCGTGTGTTGTGAGACAGTCTTCACAAGAGAAATCTCATCATCTTTCTTCTTGGCTTCGACTGGTTTGTCAGAGTCGTCATCAAATTGCCGGGCCGATCCTTCATTGCCGTACTGGACAGGATTGGTGCCAGGTGGTGCAGCAGCTGGCTTAGTAGGAGCTGTCCAAATGTCCGAAAAACAGTTGCCAGTCCACAGGCCTCATTTCGGGAACAAGGTAATAACACTTCTTGGGTTCATGCCATTCAAAACAGTACGCGCAACGTTTTCCCACACTTTGCTTCTCGCGCCATTGATGCACAAAGTCGTCTATACTCTGATTTGCAGGTCCCTTCTAGTGGGATCTATCTCTCACATAGTTTCATCCTTCTATTTAAGCCAGAACAATTACATTAGAAGGCCCTAAGCCTGCTCCACCAGCCTAGAATGGGTGGTTCACCCCATCTCTCATGGCTTCCTCACTCCGCAAAACCTCGTGGATGCTGGACATGAGCTCATCTACAAAGAAATACAGCCAACCTGAATGCTGGACGGTCTCATTTAGCAACCAAGATAAATTCCGCAGTAGCCAGGCGGCCACTATTCTGGATTGCTCCCACCATGAGCCATAGCTGGGGTCATTAGTTTCAGGTCTGGGGAGACTCTGGTCTACTAATTGACCAACAAGGTTTTTCTCTAGAACGCCTTCGAGCTGGTCACACCACTGACTAAACTCACATTCTGACTCCAAAGGGAAGATGTCTGCCAGGTTAATATCCTCTTTGACAGGCAAGCCCGACCCCTGGTTCACTACATGGTCTGCAAGCTCTGACATTTTGCCAGCTGACTAACCCAAGAGCCTCAATCCAGCTCAGCTGTTACCAAACTGGAGGAACTATCAAGTTCTCGCGAAAATCCGCACCTTGTGGTGGTCATTGTGATTGGATCCGACGCGTGAACATGCACTTCGCGTGGTTTGCAAGGCCCGGGGTCACTTGACTGCTGACTCAGACTCAATCGTATACTCGATAGTTAATGTCTCCAAGCCACATGAGTTCCACTGCTTGTGCAGCAATCTTAAGTTCAGACCCCTTTTTGGCCGAGTGGAATATCCCACGATTCTGAGCCCGGTAATATCGAAACTTCGAAGAAAGCGGTATTCCCCGAGAGGCCCCCAGCGTTCGGTTCTGGTCTGCACCATTTCTGTCACTTTATTCTATGTGGCTCTGTCACAGACCACAGTTCACACCCATTTTCACACCATTTCTGTGGCCATCTTGGTCTGTCATATATTTCCATTGCGCTCCTGGTATCTATATCAGTGAGCGCAGAGTGAAGTTCAGCCTTGGCTAGCCTCACTTTGTCACAACGCGGCTGGTGATCCTGGGGGGGAGTGACGAATTATACAATATTACTCCTGGTTTGAGAAGTGGAAGTCTGGACATTTTTTTTTCTGCCCATCTGAGTTCTAAGTGCATTCCGGTAACAGATCCAGAGAGGCTTTCTATTCTCAAGTCTTCCTGTATCGAATTGGACTATCTCGTAGAACAGGTACATATCTCGGAGGGATCTGGCGCGGAAACACCTAGAACGCGTCGCGTGGCTTCAGGGGTACGTAGCAGCAGGCTGACTCAGCCGGGCTCAACGCCATCTTTCATGGCTCATGCTCTAGCACTCTGCCCGAGCACCTGAGATGGCCTTCACCTCTTGTTAGTCCCAGCATAGTCTGGAACCCTTTTAGCTGAGTAAGGTATTCGATGGTCTTGAGTCTGCTTGACTTTGTGCTTTGAATAAAAGTGCTGTGTGCCCCGCGAGTCCCCAAATCGATTTCCGTTGCCTACAGACGAAAGATCTCCGAGTCACGAAGGGCGTGTTAGATGACATATATACCAAATATACCAACAATGAAGAGCCCGAATTGAAGATCCTTGATCATATTGCCGGACCGTCCCAGGCCACATGCATACTGGGAGTGCGGAGGTTCTGTCCTATCATTACGCGATGCGGCCATCTGTCCTCCGGGGAGAGGGGGGTGACAAAGTATGAAATATCGCTCCTGCTTGAAATTTGACGTCTAGACACTTTTTTTCCACTTCACCAGAATGGAATTGTTCTAATGAACGCTTGGGTGGTATCTGTCCTTAATACTCCGTGGATTTGGTTGGAGTGCTCCTAGAACCGGACATATTGGAAGCCGATGTCTCGAAGTTGAACAATTCCATTATGATGGCTCACTGCCCATAAAACAACGCCTGAAATGCTATGCTGCGTCTATGTCTATCTACTCATCTGCTCTAGCGATTGAATCACTCACTGCGCGCGCTCTTAGTCTTCTTACTCCTCAACTTCATCATCAGAAACACCATCGCGTAACTGGAAATGCAAAACAGCGCCGTAATCCCCGTCTGGACAAGTCAGCAAGTGCACACCTCATCACAGAAGAAGAACTCACATCTCTCCATGAATAGTACTTCTCATTCAAGTTGAACGTCTTCGCATAGTCCGCTCCAGTGGTGTACGGACAGAACGCACAAGCAGTGGTATTCCCGTCAAGCAAATACCCCGGCTGCTCACTCAGAAACGCACTCATATACTCGCCACAGGTTTGGCCCGCAGGCGCGTTGAAATGCACATACTCGGAGGGCTCGCAGGTTACCTGCACGTCCCAGAGGACTTCACCTAGCAAGCCACCCACGAGATACGTGAACGGGTCGAGGTAGTACAGCCAGTATCGCCAGAACGGCTGCATCTTGGTATACGGCACCACTACACCGCAGAAACTCACCAGCCCTGCGCCAATGAGCACGGGGTTCATCACGGCGGCGAAGTACTCGTTTGGCGCGTACGCAGCAATCCCCTGGCCAATCGATGTGTACAGGAACTCGTAGAAAATCATCTGCAGGTACATGTGTCCTGAGATACTGGCCTCTACGGGGAATCCGGCGGTGAAGTACCAACAGACGAAGTACAGCGTGGCGCAGAGGATGAGATAGGGGATCTCGGAGACCGCCTGGGCGCCGATGAAGGCGATCCAGTGGTAGATTTTGGACTGTGGTTGTCAGTAATCAAACACCAGAGGGTTCGACATCTGCATACCTTCTTCTCTCTTGTTTCGAAAATATCTCGGTTGTGCAGGAAGAACGGCTGCATCTGGTTGATGCACCCCGGCGCCACGAAGATGAAGTTGAAAATGGCAAAGAGCCGCAGCTGCAGCGCAAACGTGCCGTCTCCGATCTTCCAGAAGGTGAATCCACTGAAAAGTGCTGCGAAGACGTGCAGGATGATCTTGTTCCAGACATAGTCTGGCGACCGCCATAGCTGCACCATCAGCCGTTCCAGCACCATTGTGAACTGGAACCATTTTGACGTGGCAAAATCGGCCGTGTCTTCGACGTTTTCTGGATCTGCTTTGCTCAGTCGATTGAGCCCCTCGAGCTGGGCCAGAGCACTCTGTCTTTCCGTCGACTCGTTCCACAGCTGCACCCAGTCGATCGGCTTTTCTGTATTGCCCTGGATGACTTCGACGATGTGCTCAGCAGGGTTCTCGTCAGGAGGACAGGGAGCGCCGTTACGGCCAAAATAGTCAAGGACGGTCTGCGAGTCTTTGCCGGCTGGACGGGTCAGCTACGTTCATGAAAAGCGTGGAGCGACTTACTCTCTCCGAAATAGGCCATTTTCCCACCCCTAGCCAGAAGCAGTAACGAGTCAAACGCTTCAAAGAGGACGGCGGATGGTTGGTGGATGGTACACTAATAATTAGTCTTTTTTCATGAAGTCGATGTGAAAACTTACAAGAACAGCCTGTCCTCCGTCGACAAGCTTCCTCAGGAACCGGACAATGTTGTACGCCGATTGTCCATCCAGGCCACTGGTATGCTCATCAAGGAAAAGTAGAGTCGGTTTGGCAACTAATTCCACGCCGAGCGTGACTCTTTTCCGCTGTTCAATACTCAATCCGGCACCGGGAACTATACAGTTAGTACTGGTACTCCGGGAGATCCAAGGAACGTACCTCCAATCAACGCATCACTGATATCCCGCAATTCCAGCAAGTCAATGATATGCTCAACGTACGCCAGTTTCTCTTCCCTCGGCACATGAGCCGGTTGACGCAGCAGCGCCGAGAAAATCAGAGCCTCCTTGACCGTCGCCGTGGCCTCGTGCACATCCATCTGCTCGCAGTAGCCTGTCATGCGCTGGAAGCTGATTCCCTGTGGGCGACCATCAATTAGGATCAATCCGTGGATCTCGCCGCTGTCTTTCCGCTTGGCGAGGACATCGAGAAGTCTATTGAATTAGCTTGAATTTGCCACAAAGCACAAAGACACAGGACAGAGACGTACGTTGTTTTGCCGGCACCGGAGCTGCCCATCAACGCCACAATCCGTCAGATTCGCTTCTCACTGGTCAGATGCCCGTTCATGAGCGACATTCTTTGAGAAAGGCTTTCAAGGCAGCGTGGCTGTGAGTCCTTGTTTTGAATTTTACTATGTCCCGCGCTCCCTGGTGTCATTCGACTCATGGGAATATAAGCTGACGATACTACTAGGGAGGCATTGGGTTGCGGGATAGTACATGCGGATGGGGCGATTCGGAACCTTCTTTGGGACAAGGAAGAGAATAAATGGTAGGATCGGCTTAGTCTTGACCAAATTGACAAGTTTGAGTAAGCCATAAAGTTAGACTTCCATATTGTCTGTAGAAGAAAGTTATCCAGGCAGATTCACAGCTAATTTTGTAGTAATATTTGGGATTTAGCCCCACCTAACGCACTTCGAGTTCAAGTTGAGTAGAAACTGTATCTAGACTTTCGGAAGTTCCCTACACATTCTAGCTACAGCTTTCTGATTCTTGGAAGAAGTAATATGGTTATCTCTCCACAGCTGGTACGGAGGTCATACAGTTCAGACAAGATGCAACATAAACAGTTGTAGGACTACTCTCAGCCAGCCGGATAAGGACTGAATGAGATAAAAGGTCATCAGAAGGTGAAAGCCAAAAAGTCAAAAACATACAACAGCCGGGATTCGCTGGTGGTCACCCACCCAACTACTAACCGGCCGGCGTGTGGCTTAAGTACGGCTGAGCGGACGGGAAGCCCTGTTCTCCACACCCTATGGTCGTATGTGGGAGATCGAGAAAGTAAATAATATTTTATGCATCGGAGAACTAAGACAATGCCTGTAATGGCTTCTCCTCACTCGGTCATGGACATTCCTCAGCTGACTATCAGGAAATGTCAATCTGATTCTTCAGTTTGAGTATGGTTTTTCAGCTTGTGGTCAAGGAGATTATGAGCATATATCCTGTGCCGAAACTACCGCCAGGTGAAATGCTCTTGAATCCTCTTATTGCTCTGTATTGTGCCCTGGAGAACTTGCACGCGTGGAATCATGTAACTGGGCAAGCTCAAGAATTAGCTGGTTAGGTGATATATATCACACTATGGGAAATCATAGACTTCACCCCATACGTAAATCATATTTTCACGTTGTTTGTATGTACGAAGACTGCAGGAATCTAGATCAGCTGTATGATAATTGCCAGATCGGATATGGCAAAGTTGCTGAATATGTGGACATAATGTCTTGATAATGCAGAAACTGAGCAAATTTGATGTTGTCCGAGAAATCCGCTTGCGACAGTCAGAGGTAGCCTCAGATTACAAGAGGTTGATACAAGGGCTACACCAAGCCGCTACAAATAGACATGGCCTACAGTATAAGGCGAGCTAAATCCATGGGATTATATAGCGTTTGTCAATCTGCGCTTCCAGTATCATCATTATATGGATCTACTTGTGTATGTCGCGGCTTGGGGGTAAAGACTGCTCAGTAGTACATCGATAGCAATCTGTATCTTTCTATTTCTCTTACATTGCCTGGACCTTTATACATAGCCGAAAAGTTGCTTGCAGGGAAGGGCTTGCAGCGCCTAGACCTATTGCAAGTCTTGAAATAAGATGTTAGTATGATGATAAACTGCAGGCCCTGTAACAGGCAATGGTCACTGGTCACTGTGGGCTACTTCGAGGCTCTGAATGCTTGCTTTCATTACATTTATTCGCCCTAGTTTTCAATAGCATATCTATTGCAAATCAGAACACTTATTAAGCTACCCATAGCCGTCTATCCTACCTTAAATGACCAACAAGAGAGCATATATAATCTACTCTTGTGTTTTATCTAGCACATACGACCACAGGGTGTGGAGAACAGGGCTTCCCATCTGCTCGGCTACACTTAGGCCAGTATTCAATCAATTCAATTTAATTATTCATTCACGCATTTGTTAGCCTATCAGCTGAGTGACAGCAGGTCCCTAAGGGTAGCTGGGGTATCTACTATTATATACGCTAAATCTCTAGTTAGTAGATACTATATATTCTATGGATTAGACTAGCATACTACCTATAGGCATCTTCTAATATATCCCTAAGTTAAGTACTTATATAGGGTCCCTAGTATCTTCTCTGTTATAATTAATGATACGCTCTGTAAGTAATCTTCAGTAGCTATATAGGCTAAGGATTACTTCCTCTTATATTAGCCTAGAATATATCTAGTAGGCCCTAAAAGGCTAAAACTAGCCTAGAAGCTATAAAATAATTATAAAGTTATAGACTAAGTAGTATATTATTATAAGGATCTATGATCCGCGAGAGTTGGAAACTAGTGTGAAAGAAGAATGTTTGCAAATAGGTTTAAATGTAGGTGTCCTTATTCAAAGAGATTGTCACTGAACTTCAGAGTTCAGTGGTTGTGGGTGGGGTTATTATCTTTATATATTATATGACTATTCACATGACCTCTTATGAGGATCCTCCCTCCAGGTAGGCTCCTCTACAAAGGTAACTTTACTATAGTACATAAAGGACCTTCACAATCCTTACAACTACCCCCCCCCTGGGAAGACCTTAGCCTCTAAGGTCTATCTAAGGTTCCTTATTCGCGATAGGGTGCACCAGTAAAAACCTTTATTTAGTAAAAACCCTCTTTATAAAGGGAAAATCATAAATAATAGAAAAGGTTTACTACCCCCTTCTTTCATAAATATGTTTTATTCATCTTCTTGCAAAGGCTCAGTCATAGGTAGATCCCTTTAACTATAATATCTTTATCACTATTAAAATCTTCTTATACTATGTTTTAGGTTTGTGTTGCTTATTCTTATGATACTCCTAAAAATCCCTTAATAGCCTTATCATATAAAATCTCTGTAGAGTAGGGTTTAGGGCAGTAGTGGTTTTTATAGAGTATATAACCTCTTTTCTACTCCATCTTCTGTATTTTCCCCAGTTTTCATTATAAAAGTTTTGGTAAGGGACCCTCCGCGATTTATAATGTTTAGGTAAGAGGTGGTTAATATATCATGAGATATTTTTAGAAAAATATCCTCCTATACCTCCTCCCTTATGTCCCTACTATCACCCATCCCCTCCAACCTCTCAGAGGTAAGTAAAGGCTTGTAAGTCTATGTTATTCTTACTAATAGTCCTTGCAAAAGGAGGAGGAGGCAGCCTTTATACTACTGCCACTGCCTACTATGCCCCTCCCCCCTGCACCCACCACTGCCACTACTGCCACCACACTGCCTGCCACCAGGCCTGCCACCGCCGCCCCTACTAGGCCTGCTGCCACCACCCCTGTTGCCGCTGCCGCCACTGCTGCCACTGCCACTACTACTACCATGGCTCCTCCCACCTCTCTCTCCCTTATGCCTATGGGGGCCTTCCTCCCCCTACACAGGGTTGTTTATGGCCCCTTCTTCATTAACCTGACAAGAGTGTGGCCAGCCCCTATCATAAGGGGAGCCTCTGTCTTTGGGCCACTGCTGCCTCCAGTAGGCACTCCTAGGGCCAACTGGGATGCCCTAGCACCCACCACTAGCAGTATTAACACCTGGGCTTCCAGCCTAATGGTAGAGCTACCCCTAGACGCCTAGTTCCTCCCCCACTCATAGGGGAATCTGGTGGTAGTTACAGGGCTCCCACCCTGGATAGGATTATAACCCCTATCAGGCCAGGAGTAAGCATGGGTTACTAGGACCCTACTCTACTCTATTAACTAGTGTGGCTTCAGCATACCTAGTTAGCTAGGAGTCCATGCCTAGCTCTGTGAGGCTATCCTTGTGACTAGAGCTAGGGTAAGACCTCCTACTAGCTAGGAGTATAGCACCTGCTGCAACCTAAGCACAAGCTTAGTGTTTGCAGCATGCATTTCTAGTGGGCTGGCTAGGAAGTATAATAATTATCTTTACTGTAGCTATAAGAGCTGCTCTTTTAAGCAGCCTTAGGTCTAGTAGCCACCTTCCTAGCCCTATAAACTGCATTGCACTCACACTTGACATTAGGTACCTTTATGATGGTGGGTTCAGGAGTTAGGGATTTTTATATTTATTTTATTTATTATTTTATCTTCTTCTTAATAAAGATATATTTCCCCTCCTTATAGGGTTCCTTATATAGTCCTTATAAATCTGTAGGTGGTGTAGCCCTTTTATGGGCTCCTAAGTATCATCTTCCTTAGTATACCCTTTCTACTAGATATAATACTCTGTGGATTATCCATCCCCTTGCAAGTCTAAGATTACCTCTAGGTAGTATTTATAATCCTCTTCTATAGCTTTATAGATAAGGAAGCATTCCTATAAATTTACTCCTTCTATCTCCTTATGTTTATAGAGCATAGAGACATGGAATACATTATATATCTTAAGGCCTGGTAGTAGGTTCACATAATAGGCTAGGTTACCTATGTGTTCTATAATTTATGCTAGACTAGTATTTAACTAATCTAACTTTATGATTAGTCTGATCTGTAACATATTCTTAGTAGAGATCTAGACTTAGTCTCCTACTTGAAACATCTTCATAATATATTTCTTATTATAATATCCTTTTTAGTAGGCTTAGGCCTTTGCTAGAGCCTCCTTCATATACTTATAAGTATATTCTAGCTTAGTTAGTCTCTTTATAACTAACTCCTCTGCAACCTTACCCTTTAGTTAGTTTATAGAGTCTATTACCATCACACAAGGGTTAACACCTATAACCATATAGAAAGGTATATTCTTGATTAATACCTAGTATGTATTATTATAGGCAAACTCTGTAATAGGGAGATAGTTAACCTAGTCTTCCTGACTAAAGTTAATGTAGGCTTACAAATACTATTCTAGCACACTATTCAGGCATTCTATCTAGCCATCTATCTATAGGTAGTAGGCTGTGGAGAGCCCCTTGTGAATTAGGAGATGAAATATAAAATCTACCTAGAAACCTTTCGCAAAGATAGAACCCCAGTCTGTAATAACCTTTTCTAGGATTCTGTGAAGTTAGAAGACCTCACAGACAAGAGTTATCGCTAACTTCTCCCCACTAAGGGTAGTTTAGATAGGTATGAAATGGCCCATCTTACTAAATCAGTCCACTACCACTAAGATGCCATTAAAGGCTTCTTGCAAATTTACTGTGGAAATACTCGCGGGGAGATCTGTGATTAGATCTATAGTGATTTAGATCCAGATACCCGCGGGGGTAGGTATAGGCTCTAGTAAGCCTTGCTGCTTACCCCAGGTCTGTCGCGATCCTTAGCACACCCCATAAGCTGCACAGTATTCGCGGACGAAGTTCTTTACTTCTAGCCACCAGAAGCGCCTTAGGACTAACTCTCTTATCCTTTGTTCTGCGTAGTGACAAAATATAAGGATCTATGATCCGCGAGAGTTGGAAACTAGTGTGAAAGAAGAATGTTTGCAAATAGGTTTAAATGTAGGTGTCCTTATTCAAAGAGATTGTCACTGAACTTCAGAGTTCAGTGGTTGCGGGTGGGGTTATTATCTTTATATGTCATGTGACTATTCACATGACCTCTTGTGAGGATCCTCCCTCCAGGTAGGCTCCTCTGCGAAGGTAACTTTACTATAGTACATAAAGGACCTTCGCGATCCTTACAATTATATGAGACTAGGCTTACTAAACAGATAGGTATAATTAGTCTTCTATGATTCCCCTAACCCTTATAACTTAGGAAATCACGACATTCTAAACTAAGCTAATCGCTGCGCATATGGGAAATAGGGAAGGAGAATAGGCATCTAGATAGGTGTGGGAGACAGTAGCAAGGGATACAACAGCACTAAGGGAACAACAATGCCACTGAAGCAGCAGTAGTGGCGCCAGCAGTAGCAGCAGCAGCTGCAACAGGAAGAAGAGAAGGGAATATATGCGTGTGTCTTGGTGGCCTGTCCTCTGGTCTTGTATATATATATAAACTCACAGCAGTACAGTCTGAATAGGATGGCCACTCACAACGCGCAGTTTTCATTGCTTGTTAGGAGCCTCCGGCATGGCCCAGCTCAGCGCCGCAACAGAGTAAGGAACCAACTAATCAATCAATCAACCCCTTACCTTAGGAAGTTCAGTGAGCATTAAATTCGATTTTTGCGGTCCAGGTATGTAAATCTACTCTTACGTTATTTGTGCTCTGCTGCTGACTATATATAGATAATTATTAGTTGTAATTAAATCTGTCTGTCTCATCGTTCCAGGATGCGAGTCAATGCAACAACCAGGGCGCACAGACTTGTTTGAACCAGACACAGTCACATAATGGCACTGACTCTTCCATCCTAAAGGAATAAATTTGTTTGTGATATGAATTAAATTTATAAGTTAGAAAATGTCCTTCCACCACTATCTGCAGATTTGGCCATGAGCTGATGATGGAGCCCTAGGGTGCCCCTAAAAGTGAAGGTATCTCGAAACTCGATCCTGGACACATTAGGAGTTATACAACGGTGGGGAGGCGCCAAACCGCATTCCAGAGATCCTCCCCTCTAGTATACCCAGGCTGGTCAGTGTAGAAGAACTCTATAAATATAGATCGGGCCTTCTCCCATTCTGTCAGTTCAAGATGCACCGCCATCTCCCTAAGATAACCCACAAACCAAGAATGGGATTCATATCCTTGGGATGCCATAGATCCAATAAAAAGAATCCATAACAGCAAATCTGGCGAAGTAACGTGCATATATCTAAGCCTAAGAATTAAGCTTTGTCTTAGGCCATCCACAAGATACCGCGTTATTGGGAAGTTTCCATAGCGCCAGACGCGCAGCCATGTGTATATAAACAGCGCCTGACGTATGGGCTCATTGAAATCGTTGTTTCGGGGTGAGTAGTGAAGGGAGAGAAGATGATGTTTTAGGATAATATAAAGATCCTTATCCGTTGGTTTGACAAGTCTGGGTAGCATTGTCCTCATTTCAAAATGCACAAAGAGTCGGCAGCAGACACCAATAATCTTCTTCATAGCGGAATCTAGCCCCGGACGCCAGGGAGCCTTGTCGAAGCGAGTACCGAGAGAGGATAGGGAAGAAGGTATCGGATGCCCGTATTCGTATTTGCTAGTACCGTCATAAAACATCTCTGCTTCATCCAGGACTTCGCGACGGAACCTGGGTAAGATGGGAAAACAGGGCTTTGTATTATAAAGCACCGCACTCGCAATATCTCCCCTGTTGATCGTCAGTGACGCGTATCACTTAAGATTGGAGGACCCTGTACTGGTAAATTACTGCAAGTGTGCTATGTTCGAGCCCCTCTAAGCCGCCAACTAAGTTTATAAGGGTATTGAGCCCTCTCGTATGGGTCTGTGATGCCATGAGCTGTGCATTAAGCGCCTATTCGTGTCCAAAATTAGCATAGTTCATGTTTGTTTCACAAAACTTGGGCAAAGACCAAGATGGATCCGCAGCAACCAATTTAGGCTGGCGGCGGATGTTACATGTGGAAAGATTACATACCTCACAGTGTTGCATAATGGACACACAAAGTATAGTCAACTCTGCCGCTGCTGTAACAGGGTTCTGAAGGAGCTGATTCAGGCATTTGATAGCTTTGACTCGGTAACGAATAGCATCTTGGGATGATCTCAGAATGATTGGTGGGGCAACTCTGTGAAACGAATTAAGCGCTGCTATATCCCCGGCTGCTAGGAATAAGATTGTATAAAGAAGAGCTGGCAAGCCAATCGACTTCTGGGCCCATATAATACCCTCCTGAGCCCCATTAAGGGGGATGGAAGCCGGTGCTATTTGCATCCAGACTGTCAAGATGTTTAGCATGGACTTCTGCCTTGGCTATGAGGAATGGCCTACAATGATAAAAATATGAATCCATAGTACCCGCCATAGGCACTGCACTGGTTTTAAAGGGATCCACATAGCCCTGGCCCAAGTATCCTGCTAATGCCCATCTGCCCTTTCTTGTTAGGGCCTGTCTGAAGCCCTCCTCGGCAGCAGCTGTCCCATGATGCTTCTTTGTATGTCGAGTATTCTTCAGCCTCTCTACGGACTCTTGCTTCCTTTGTTGATGAGCAAGCTTAGAAAGGAATGCCTTTTTCTCTCTTCCAACTCCGAACTCCTGTGACACGTCATCCTGGACATTAATGAACAAGAAATTGCGCCCCTTCGTCAAGGGCTCAGAGCAAAAGGGCACAGTGGGCCGCATGGGGGAGCTATGGCAGGGGGGAACCCCAGAGCGGGGCCCAGGGAAAGTTGACAGTAAATCCATCCCAGGGAGGAAAACAAGCGATGTATTAGGATCTTCAGAGTTTTATTCACAATCCAAAAAAATTTATGGGCCATGCAGGGGTTTAAAAAAAAATCCGGGAGCATTTCTGAAGTAAGACTTAGTAATCCAGCACGTGAGAGAATAAGCCAGTTGGAACGCGACACAGTGATACAGTCTTGTTGAAATAACCGATAGTTTAAATTTTCTTGAGGGGCACGGAATACCAGGGCACTATTAACCTGTGACACTCATTGGTGACCTGGCTGCCTCGCCCTTCTCAGACTTGAATTGAGGGTTCAGTTCCTACTTCCTAAGGAACCAGGGCGGTTCCGGTTTCCCCCTTACCAAACCTCTCAGGTTTCGGTTAGAACTATTGGGTTTTTTTAAGCGCTGAAAACCTAGATTTTTAGGAATTTCTATATAAAGATTATATCACTAGATAGCCTACTATGCGATCTATCTAGATATAAGATCTTAGTCTAAAATATCTAGTTGTTGTCAAGATATAAGGGAATAATGATATTTGTTAGAGGTTGGTATGAAAGTGAAGGTAAGATATATATATATACACATCAACCTTTGACATTCCTTATGATTTTAGGATATTTTTAATCACCACCCATTCAAATATATAGATATTCGCTTGATATTTAGATATATATTAATATACATATAATAATAAGATATTCATTTCGAGCAGCTACTGCACTGGTTCATATTTTGACAGTCAATATAAACTACCTCTTTACTGATTCCAATACATACGACCACAGGGTGTGGAGAACAGGGCTTCCCGTCCGCTCAGCCGTACTTAAGCCACACGCCGGCCGGTTAGTAGTTGGGTGGGTGACCACCAGCGAATCCCGGCTGTTGTATGTTTTTACTTTTCTTTTTTTATAGTGCTGATCATCTTGCTGTTTTGCTGTGCAGTGGCGGCTGGCGGCTAGGGGAACATTATGTTTGAGGATGATGCTCCATGATAGTGTATCCAGTCAACGCCTTTCCTTGGTATTCAGAGTAGAAATTCTTCCATGGGAGAAAATAGGTGCGAGTTCACGTAAAATCTATCTCAAGATGAATTGAATTTTTGTCTGGACAGAATTGCAAAGTGGGAAGTATTGGCAAGAGAGACAATATATATAAGAACACAGCAGTAAGTTCATAAATTTAGTAATTACAGGTGGCACAGCACTCCTAGCATGAGACTATGCTAAGATTTTAAAGCACAGTTCAAGCCTGAAGGCTTATAGACAAGTGCAAAGTGCTTCGTAATATCTTAGGTAGCAGTGGTCGAGGACAGTCAATGCACATGGCTTCAAGATGGAGAGGCGATGCAATTGTCTCTCAAAGGAGTGATTCATTGGCGCTCTAGAGTCCAAGCAAGTTCTTAGGGTCAGTACGGTACATGTGCAAATAATGTCAAATCAGCTTCTGGATTCTGCGTCCCATACATGGAGTGCAGCAGACAACTCAAACTAATAACTACCAACACAACACTGATTGTGGACAAGGCAAGACTTACAGCATATTGCCAGGCTGCTGTTCACACGCCGCTGTCTAAGTTCATCAGTTTGTTTTAGCAATCCCCTTATCTCACCTCCAGTGGCAGTCCCTCTTCAGCAGCAAGCACCTGTGCCAGAAGAGGTACAGATCCCTTCCCGCATCTTCTGGATTCGGCAATGTTGGCGCAGCTCCAACTATCAAAGTACTGAATTGTTACTAGATTTCTGAGCTATAAGAAGGTAATCTCGGCAACGGCCATAAGTATGATGAGAACCCAGTGAATATTCATTCAGAGTCAGCTGGGTACTTCCTCACTGATGAAAATGGAGTCATATCCGAGAGGACCAAATGCCTTTCACATCTTTCTACGGGTCCTGAATCGAGTCTGAGTCCTTTGTGATTAAATGTATGCTCTGGGTCAAGGCGGCAAGTTGACTTTGGGTACAATTCCGATGCTCAGCCCGACATGTGCTGTCTACAATACTATGCCTATGTTGCGGGTAGTTGCGAAGATATCGAAGGAAAACTGCTTAGGATTTGTGAGCTCGGCACGCATACACTTCAGTTCCAGGCTCCATGTTGGAAGGTCACCGGTTGTACGTAGTTGATTGGTAGGAGCTTTGTGAGACTCGAATTCAATGGCCATAGCAAGGACAAATCACGACATAGCCTGATGTAGACAAATCACGACATAGCCTGATGTAGACAAGTCTGGTCATAACAAACCCTGTACTTTCCTGAACTTGAGAGTTCTTCTGACTCAAGAAAAGAGCCATGAGCTGCGTTCTTAGCAAACTCCAAATTCTCCTCACTATTCCAGTCCTTTAACAACACACCATGTCTGAGGCCCCAGAAAAAATAAGTGAAAGACCGTGCCGCAAGACCGGTGCGCCAAAATGGTCAAGGTGTAGGCATCTTATAAAAGACGTATATCATCAGAACAGCCCCACCAAGCATGCAACATCCAGTCAAACACTGGCTTTTCCAGAACACCCCCGTCTCAATGTCATTCAAAGCAGATGTGACTGGAAAGCCAACCAAAGTCCCCAGCGCCGCCGCAGCCGATGATATACCAATCCTTGTGCCAACGAGGTCTTTTTCTGGCGAAAGATGAGGCACAATGATTGGATATAGAACTGCTAGTGGCCCCATGAACAAAGCAATGAGCACAGCCCAGACAATAGTGGAAGCCACTGATTTAACACCAATCCAGCTGAAGAGGAGTACACTGGATGCCAACGCAAAGCCGCCCATGGTGAGCGCGGGCCCACATCGGTTTGAAAGTGGCACCGCCAGAAACCGACCCGGGATGGTTGACGCATTACAGATGACCAGGGTGTAAAAGGCTAGATTTGAGCTTGCGTTGGCTTTGAACTGGGCAAACGTTGGGAGTAAAAAGAAGGGGACCCAGTAGGCAATCCACATGAGGAAAAGAGCTGCGCAGAAGGCCATAAACGCTGGGTCGCGGAAGGCGGTGGGATCCAGCATGGATCGGACATTATGGGGAGCCTTGCTCTTGGTGCTGGGTAATATGATCGCTAGGGCTATAATTAGTTCACCTAGCGTCACGAAACCAAGGACTCGAGTTGCCCATGGGAAGCCAAGCTTGGGCTGGAGTGTCGAGAATATGATGGGGTAGATTATCCCGCCTGCATGTGTGCCTAGTTAGTGAAGATATCAATGGGAAGAAGAGGGAAAGACATGGAGGACCAACCAACTGCGGTTCCAGAGGTGGCAATGAACACGGCTAATGGGCGACGTCGTTGAAACCTCGATGCAACGAGACTGATGCTGGGCACATACAAGATTGCACTTCCGATACCAACACAAACGCCCTGTGCTAGGAGAATCTGGTAGTACTCGTGGGCTAGGCTCAACATCATGACCCCCAGTACTGTGGTTATTGTGCCTATAATCAAGAGCTCTCTGATATATCCACGATCAAAGATGGGCCCCGTTACGACGCCTCCCACTGTAAATCAAGATCCCCAGTTAATCGCGCGGATCTCCATTACTTCAACCTGGTAGTGTCTTTTTGCCTCCTAGAAGTGTGAGGACGTACAGATGAGAATGACACCCTGTAGCGTGCCGACCCAAGAAATTGTAGTCGAGGGCGTGGAAGACAACAGGGTTGTTTCGTAGAAATTTTCATACGAGCCATAGGCACTCAACAGGCCCCTATGATATAGAGACGGTGAGTACTACAGGTTGAACATGATGGGGACCTATGCACCGACTCACCAGGTTGCTGTGTAAACAAGAAAGGCGCCTAGGGCCTGCAGCCAGGCGTCCAGGCCCTCGTGTGCTTCCTTGGCGACATTTTGGTGTCTGTGTTGTGTCACTGTAACTGTAGTTGGGATAGCTTCGAGACTTTCAGGCGGAGGTGTCGCAGAAGAAGCCATGCACGGTTTTCAGTGGTAGTGAGAAGACCCTACATACAGAGCGAAGGATGAAGAGAATCGGAATTAAGAACCAGTGGGGGCCAGGGATGGGAAAGCTTATAAAGCTAATCAATTGTACTTTGTGAGTTCTAGCGGGTCGACCCCAGAGGCACATTCCGCCAAAGGCAGAACCCTGCAGTACAGCGTTACGTGGTTCCATAAGCCTAAGAGGTGGCATCAGGAGAAGATAACATCACGGTGTCGATCCGTTTATAATCAACATATAGTAGAGCTCTAATATTTTTGTGTTGCCTCAGGAGAGCGAAATCTTAACGGGGAAATAAGTGGCTTGGTATCCTATGGTCAAAGATTTTAGCCCTACCCCTGGCAGCCAATTTATGTATGTATCTATTGTGTCAGAGATAAGCGATGTTTGCTCTAGTTATCCAGCCTAGGACCTCAAGGGTTCTAGCATTTTCCGGGTGATAAGAAGAAACCTAGTCGTCCAGAACCACGTCTTCCTTAGTTAATTCATGAGTGACGGCTGCAGGGTTGCGCCGCTCGTCAGGTGTGTCATGAGAGCGGAAAAAATCTTTGCTCTCGCATTTGGGTTGACGGTCCCGGCATCGAGCTCTTTTTTGATATGTCGCGGTCGATCGTTACAGTGCTTATGAGAAAGGGTTAGAAACTCTGCCAGAGAAAGCGTCTGGGAGACAATTGTGTACTTGAAAGAGCGGCTATTCGTCCTGTATAGGCTATAGCAATTCCTGTAGGACATGTGGCACCAGTGGAAGCATGCAGTCATCTTACTAGGTGATTTGATGTCCAGACACGCATCCGTCCAATCAACCTCCCTGCATATACGAGGATTGGGATATCCAGTTATTTCTGATGAATCACGGATGAACGACCCCTCATTGACTGGCTAGCGCTTGCTAATTGTGCGGATCCTCTCAGCCTCAGCCTTGTAGTTTTGAAGCCCATGATTCTCTCAGCCTCGTGGGTTCGGAGTGCATACTCTCCGCCCTCCTCGCAGTTCTTAACGACGGATAACTACGGTTTCAAACCGATAGTTACGAACCGGCATGTTCAAATCAGATTGAACACGAAGACAACGATATAGCTAAGGACAAGGGCCTCACATTCATATCTCCAGTTGCCTCTCGTCTGAAAATGCCTTTGCTGGAAGAGTTCGCAGTCAGCATCATGCTGCAAAACCCTGGGTTGGAGCCTGCACTAGCCGACCGTTTTGCAAAGGAACAGGTTTACCGTTTCAAAAGGCTGACAAAGGCGGCAATAGATCATGCCGAGGCTGTTATCAACAAGACTTGCTCAGCGGGAAGACTTTGTTTCGCACAGGGAGGTGAAGCCGTAATGCTTGCCTCAAGCAATGGGCTTCATGAATCTGAGGGTGTGCTTACCCAGTCTCAGACCACCAGGCACGGTGCACTAGTGACCCCGGCCCAGTTCCCCCTAGATGTTCCCATGCCGCCCGTGAAGGGACTTCCGGCTGAGTTTGAGTGCCCCATATGTTTCAAGGTGAAGAGGTTTTACAATCCTTCGCACTGGACTGAGCATGTCTACGAAGACATCCAACCATTCACCTGTACCTTCCCAGACTGCAGCAACATCAAGACATTCAAACGAAAAGTAGACTGGATCAGGCATGAGAATGAATGGCACCGGAAGCTTGAATGGTGGCTTTGCCCTTTTCCAGATTGTCATCACACATGCTATCGCAAGGACAATTTTGTACAGCATCTTGTCCGGGAGCACAAGGTGCGTTCGCCAAAGCGGAAGGTGCCAAACATAGAAGATGGAGGTTCCATCAGTCCACAAGACCCATTTGCGCCAGATGCACAGGACCAAAACATTCATGAGGAAGAAAGTAAGCGGCTGTGGGAATTAGTGGAAAAATGTCACTGTGAAACCCAGAGAGCTTCAGATGAGGAACCCTGCCGGTTCTGCGGAAAGATCTGCGCCAGCTGGGGGAAGCTCAGTGATCATCTGGCCGACCACCTGGTGCAGCTAGCTCTGCTTGTTCTGGCACTACTGAAGGAGAATTCCGAGCTGGAGATAGGACTTACGAATCAACAAGAACATCCATCTTCAGACTCTAACAAAGATCCCAACATATATCACAATCAAGGATATCTCAATCTGGACCAGCGCCACCTCCAGTTTGGCATCGACTCCAGATTGGGCCTCAATGCCCTTGAAAAATGGCCTCATTTTCCCGATTCATCCCATGAGAGCGCCCTAGTTCACCACACTCCACCATCCTTCACAACCGGAACAGTCGCGGATTCTGGCTACGCATCAACCAAACACGAAAGATCCAGAAAAGCGCGATCCCAAGCGTTTGCAAGTCCTTTGGGAGTGTCGAATGGCCAGTTCACCCTATCTCACGACCCATTGGCTCCATCAGCTAGTGACGACGTAAATTCGGAAAACTCGAAGGCCACCGAATCGATCGAGCTCGGGAGTATCTACTCAGAAATATCGGGGGTCTCGGCTGATAGAAAGGAAATTTTCATATCAGAGCTAGCGGAAGAGCTTGCGAATGTTATACAACCGTACCAACCCAGCGAGGACGCCAGGCAGAGGATATCACAGCTGCTTCCCGAACTCCTGAGAGGGTTTGCTTTCCGGTTTGGACGCAATGCATCAAGCCAAATGCACCGGGATGTAATGGTATTTATTCACAAGCATCGAAGGTATGCCCACCGATGTCCATAAGAGGAGGCCTTCTTACAGGTCTAATGCTCTCCTCTCCCAGAGACGTAACAACATCTCTCATAGAGCGATTCTCGGAGACCTATGGCGCAAACACTGACGGACGATACGGCGAGAAAATGCCACTCCTTGAACTCATGGCTCTTTGGGACAGTAAGGTAGATACAGATGTGGACAGAATCCCGGATGAATGTCGCGAAGCTCCAGATGAAAACGAAGGAAACGAAGAAGACGACGCGAATTACATGGATGAGAACTACAATATAGCCGAGTCGGCAGATCTGATAGCCTACAAAAAGGCCATTCTCAATGCGCCGGCTTTCCAGACCCTTGCCGCAAGCTTACAGAGAGAGTGCCTGCTGGTCTCGCCAGACCAAAACACTATGCAGGAGATCAGCCAGAGACTCCTTGATGGCCTTCAGCAAAACCCGCGGATCAGCCGAAGGAAATCTGCGGACACGTTCAAGGCAAAATGCACCGTCAGGTGGGACCCGATCGCCTTTCTCCTCATGCAAGAGTACTCATAACAGCCAGCAGAAGCTCTTAAGACGGCGATAACCCTGACGGGATCGAGCAGGGCTGCACAGGCTGCGACCTGTGGACGGTATCTGTCCCAAGCATGGCCATCAACCGGGCAGCAAATGATCGACCTGGTCAAGGCCTTGGTCCAGAGCGGTCTCGGCGTTCCACGATCGGATGTTCTCTTGGACGGGACTGAGATGATTGGAGAGCTACAGCTATCGAGCGGAGGTTCGTCAAAGTTGTTGTATGTCGAGGTCCTAGGCACAGCACATTCCATTGTAGACACCATCCAACTGCTTGCGTGGCTGGGAGCTGCCCTGCGGGTATCCCCAATCGAGACAGGAGTCGCTTACTGCAGGCCAATTGTCCAAGGGAACTGGATACTTGAAGACGGATCCCAGACTGGATGGGCAGCAGAGCTTCTTTGCAAGATCGAATATACAATTCGTGCGGAATATGGCTATCCAGCACTTGCTAATGGCCAGTGTTGGCACCATCTATTCCGAAATCCAGTCATAGTTGAGGGATATCCCATCCTGAGACGGCCAGACTTTGCAGCAGATGCTGGTCTGGAGATCCCACTTAACATGATGGCGGGGCTCGCTCAAGCCTATCGTATAAGCACATTCAACGGCAGGACGCTCCTCAAAGGATGGTCGACTATGCTTGTGCCCACAAAACAAGATAACGACATGGTGCTATGGCATCTGATATACCATCCAAATGGTGATCGAATATCCTATCAGGACTGTGAGACCTTCTTGCCCATTGACACATGCATTCCGGAACTGGAGAAGGTACGACATGTCCTGGGTTGGTGTTCTGAGATGCGGTTCTTTGGAGGAGCAGCAGATGCCAGCTACAACGTGCGGCCGTCCAGGCTCCCGGCAACATCTAAAGGCTGCATGCTCGACCAAGTGCACATTTCAAGCGGACACACGATATCTGGTGGCCATCCATTTAGCATTGGCTACAAGGACATACCGCTACATATATCCAGGCATGGCTATATCCGTAAGCTCAAGTGGATCGCGCAAAGGTTCGTCCTGCTCTGGGACGAAGGTGACAAAAGAGGCTGGCTGGTCAAAGGGACCAGTGCTCTGTTACACCTCGTTCGGGCAGCCATGGACCAGGCCAGTGCCGATGATTTTAAATCCTATCTGCTCTTCAGTCCCGACCAACTGCAGGAATCACGCCATCGCCATAAGCCTGCTGCGGCCATCGACGTTCTAATGGATCCGAGAAACCGGGCGCTGAAAGTGTATCAGGAGAAGGATGATTATATCCGCTTTGAAAACCAGGTGGAGCGTTTCTATGACCTTCTCGAGAAGATCATTGACCACCAACAAGATGCTGTGGAAAACAGCAGACGGCAAGGCACCACCGTGCCCCGGGCTTACCTAGAAGGCTGGGACTTCCACGAGCTGGCGGCTGAGGTCGATCCTGTGCGCGCTCGTGTGGCGATTCTTGATTCAATCGGTAAATCCTGGGTCGACTTCACCCGCTCACTCAACGCCGTTACCCTATGTGGACGCGGGTTCGGTGATATTATCAAACCAACAGAGGGTTGCTCGCAGTGGGCAAGATTGCCCAAAGGGAGGTACTATCTCGCCGCATGTATGTCTGACCTGAAGAGTATCATGGATAAACAAGGCGATCCGGACTCAATTCCCATGAAACTAGTCGATGACATCCTCTGGTACAACAATGACTCATCGTTTGTGCCTTGTCGATGCAATGGCGAAGATGACCAGCCGCATTCCGATTTTGCGCAGGTACTGTTGCCTTCCACAATGGCTCGTGATATGCTGCAGGACATGTCGCGAGCGGCTGATTTGAACAATGGCGGCGCTGTCATCTTTGGCCAGAATAGGAATCGCAGGTGGTTTTGGGGCGACACAGGAGAGCCCTCAAGAAAGGCTCAGGAAGTCAAACCGCCGGACGAAGGTTCTCTGTCCCCGTCCTACGACGACAGTGGTATCGGACAAAGTGTGCGATCCTCAACCGCAAAAGTCGGCGCAAGCATGGTAAGTGGCCCTCAGCAGTGCCCATTGGATGAATCCTCCGCCGCTACACACTCAGGAAGTATCAGTTCAAGAAACACTGGAGCCTTGAGTATCACCAGTCTTCATGAAAGGATACGCGAAACTGTCCCGGAAGACTACAAAGTGGGGATTTTATGCGCATTATACCTGGAGCTGATGGCAGTGCGAGCTTTGTTTGACAGCAAACACGAAGCTCTAACCATCACTGACAACGACCCTAACTACTATGCACTTGGACAAATTGGGCCGCATAACGTAGTCGCCGCATGCTTACCAGACGGGGGCTACGGCACCAACTCAGCCACGAGAGTGGCCTCGAATATGAAGCGTACTTTTCCTGAGATCAAGTTCTGTTTGCTCGTTGGTATCGGCGGTGGAGCGCCGTCAACAGAAAACGACGTCAGGCTGGGCGACGTCGTCGTCAGCAGACCCTCGGGTACATCTGGAGGAGTACTGAACTACGAGCTTGGGAAGGCGATAGGAAAGGGGGTGTTTCAACTACACGGATGCCTGCCGCCCGCTCCAGAGCAGCTGATGTGTGCCATCAGCGACCTGCGATCCGACCCAAAACTTCCATCGACACCGTTGCAGCCGTATCTGGATGAGATTGCGTCGTGGAACCCTGAATACCAGCACCCTGGTGCCGAAAACGACAGGCTATTTGCCTCCGACTACATTCACTCTACACAGAGCAGAGATTGCAAAACGTGTGATGCGAGATGGGAGGTGAACAGATCCCAACGACTGTCGACTCATCCGAAAATCCACTATGGATTGATTGCCTCCGGAAACAAGGTCGTGCGAGACGCGGGTATGAGGGACAGCCTAGCAAAGGAGTACAACGTTTTCTGTTTCGAGATGGAAGCAGCAGGGGTCTTGCTGACCTTCCCCTGCCTAGTTATCCGAGGCATCTGCGACTACGCAGATTCGCACAAGAACAAGAAATGGCAGGAATATGCGGCTGCCGCGGCCGCGGCGTATGCGAAACTGCTACTCTCGCGGGTGAGGGCAACATTGGGTCAATCGGAGGTCCGAGATACTATCGCCGCTAGGTCTGCTTCAGAATGTCGCCCATCCAAGCGGATGCGGACTGGTTCCTCGGGGGATATGCAACGATCTTGGGGACTGAAGAGGAATCAGATCTCCCGCTAGCTACCGGTGGACTCCAAATTCAGCTTGAAGTATATAACAGAGCGTCTACCGAAGGGTCGAGAACATAACAGCAGGGGCGAGGCCATGGAATAGGGCTTATGATGTTCCTTTTTGAACTTGGGCAAAGCTGAAGATCATGAGGACCCCGCTATGATACAGTCGGGCCCATTAGTTTCCGTATGAATTTAGTATGAGATTTAGACTATTTTACTTTAAACGCTTATTGTTTAGCCAGACTTTATTATTAGTAATTAATATCTATATATAATAAAATTTAATATCTTAATTTTAATATATTTAATTTTAAAATATAATTATAATCTAAATATTCTTTATAATACAAGGTGTAATCTACATACTAAGATAGATATATATCTACTTATTTCTTATTATTTCAATATATTTTAGAGCTTTATATCTCCATAAGTTTATATATAAACCTAGTTTAAATTTTTTATATTTGATATTTATAATATTAAGCTATATATCTAAAGAAAAAAAAATATAAGAATATTAGAAAACTACCTAATTATAGAGGTATAAAAATCATAAATATTAGGATGTTTAGAATCACTTATTTTTATACAAATAAATAATTTATTTTTATTTTTAAAATAATTATAATATAATTTTAATAATAAATAATATATTTATATAAGATTTAATATTATAACTATAATTAGTAGTTATATAATACCATGGCGTAATCCCTAGATAATAAGGTAGGCGTACAGAGACTTTTGACGTAGAACTGTAAGTTTCTGTGCACTTAAAAAAGATCAACACCAAGCAAAAACATGCAACAAAAAGAAAAGTTAAAAACATACAACAGCCGGGATTCGCTGGTGGTCACCCACCCAACTACTAACCGGCCGGCGTGTGGCTTAAGTACGGCTGAGCGGACGGGAAGCCCTGTTCTCCACACCCTGTGGTCGTATGTGCTTAGGTAGAGAAAAGGATAAGTTTTATTGTGCGCGAGGCCATGATTACTAGAGGGGTTGGGACCAGTCGATTTCTCAAACTATTACTGGGAAGACTGTTTCATGATGGTTTATTGTTGGGTCTAAGAGATACGCATGACAGTTATGCATCAAACACTAGCGAGCTAGTGGCTAATTGAGCACATTCCATGCTGGGTGAATGTCTTCGGGTGGTGGGAGCGGTTCGAGAACTGCCAACTTGATGCCACAATATATATGCATCACTCCAAGTTAGGGATAGAATGCGCCCCAGGTCACCAGCAGAGAGGATAAGGTATTGATTGCCGCCAAACCAATATGAAAACCAAATTTCCATATAAATCCTTCGGTCAAAGACGAGATCAAATAAAACTGATACCATGCTCTCGACATCCATGGAAACAATCCCAATCAATTGTCGCCTCAAAATCTCCTAATCTGACCACTATAAGGAACTTGCTGAGTCCTTTCCTACTTGTAATCCCGCCCAGGCAGCCTTCGCTATTAACCAAGTCCAGTTTCCTATTGACTGAGTCAGCCGTGGCGTCATATCTATATGCAAGAGCGCTCTTGCGGGTGTGCTTCAGACAAATCTGACAGGTCTCAGTGGTCATGAAAGTAACGATTGCTTCAATCATGCCTGCCTGCTGGTGAACCAGCCAGGCTGGAAATATCAGCTCGTCGTCCTGGTGTATTAAACCAGATACCATCATACCATTTGGTATTCCCGTCATGGACCGATGCCCAAGAACAAACTGGGTGCAATGTATTCAGCTGACCGGAATCATTTGCCATTAACATTATGGAATCAGGTTTTCCGTCTGAAAGTTTCCACGAGTACTCATGGTGCTCATGGTAATGCGCTCTTAAATAAGGATGTAGCCTTCAACCTCAAATAGCAATCCAGTAGTTAGCCATCCCCTGCATATTTATTTATCCATCTGGCACATGGATGTTACAGGGGGTAATCTTCTGGTCACTGCAACTTTGTGGGGTGCATGTGTTTATCTCTCACCATAGTTACTCATTCCATGTGCACCTAGGAGCTTCTGGATGATGCTAATTCGGCTGTCACCCTAATAATTACTCCTGGTAAGGACTTCTTCTTGTGCTATAGCCCCAGTAGCTCTGCCAAAGATTATGTGATGTGTCCAAGTGCGTGAGGGTCTTGGTGTCGACGGGCGAGGATAGAGGCAATCATATTCCTGAAATGATATGGTAATCAATCAAAAACCCAGCTTCATGGGTCACTAATTATGAGCGGTGCAAATGAACAGCGCTGGACTCGGCAGATCCCTGCAGTGGTTCCTTAGATTTATGCAGGTGCGGACCTGGCCCGCTGAACTAGATCAGCTGGATGGTAAGTGCGTCACAGTCAGCTACGTAGATACTAGATAGGTAGTTCTGATTCGAATATTTCTGCCTGATTTCATCTAAGCTCAACGTCTGCAACAAAAAAAAAAAACAAAAGCTGATTGCCTAGATTCTACTAACCCTCAGCACCATTTGGTAAGGGACCCCGGGTATGTGTAGATAGATTACTTCCAAGCTCCCAGTTGGCATTATCAGTCAAGGAAGTCCGTACGAGGAGCTGCCACTGGCCGTCAATGGAAGCCTAGATTGATGTTCTTCCCATGTTTGACATTGCTGAATCATGGAAAATTACTCTACGATATGATCTTGTTATATTCCTTTCCATTGGTGAGATTCTCTGGAACAGAAGTCGGATAACTGATTTCGAGCATGTGGCAGGCCATTCACTCGCTACACCAGCGCAAATATAGATAGACTTTATGTTGCGTCGAATTGTCTAAGACGCATAAGAGATTGAGAATGTGGCGCACAACCCCCGTCCCAAAATTGACTATCTAGTGCTTATTTCACAAGAATACCTGAGGGTCATCCTTCATGACGTTGAACCATTCTCTCACCCACTATTTCCGCGTGCAGTATAAATAGTAGCTCAAAGCCATACAGCTCTGCCTGTTGCACCGGTCTTCTCTGATATCAACAATACAATTCTCAATCCTGATCCGTTATGCTGCTCTCCAGCTTCCTCTTGTTGTTCGCCTTAGCGCCCTGTTTCTCACAGGCAACGGCACTAAACTCGATTTCATCTAATAATGGAAGACTTGCACCGCTGAAGAAAGCAACAACTGCCAGCCCCAGCTCACTCATCGTGGAGTATTACGAAGCCGGGCCCTCTAGCGGTCCAGCTGTCATTCTGGTCCACGGGTTTCCATACTCAATCGATGCCTTTGTTTCAGTCGTACCCTTGCTTGTCAACCAGGGCTATCGAGTCATTGTGCCTTACCTCCGCGGCTATGGTGGAACCCGATTTGTTCATCCCGACACCCTGCGCAGTGCCGAACAGGCTGCTTTGGGGTACGACATTATTGCACTGATGGATGCCATTCATCTCGACACCGCAATTTGTGCTGGATATGACTGGGGCACTGTCGCCGTGAATGTAGCAACAGCGTTATGGCCCGAACGCTGCACTCGCATGGTGGCAGCCAACAGCTACCTCATTCAGAACCGCTCTACAGCCTGGCAACCCAGTGACCCCAACTCAGAGGCCACCAAATGGTATTACTACCTTTTCCTCACTCCGCGCGGGGCAGCAGGTCTTGCGGAAGCCCCCAAGGAATGGACACAGACGCTGTGGGAGAAAAATTCCGTGGGATGGAATTTCACCGAAGAGTATCTAGACCTCACGGTCACTTCCTTGCTCAATCCAGACTTTGTTGATATCGCGGTCAATTTCTACCGAAACAGACTCCTCTATGCACCTGGTGACCCGGCCTTTGTTGACCTGGCAGATAAGTTGGACCATCAACCTCCCATCACCGTTCCGTCTGTGACCCTGGATCCCGAAAACAGTGTCGTTTTGACACCAAATAACGGGTCAGCAACGGCGAAATTTTTCACTGGACCACGCTGTCATTATCAGATTCCTGATGTTGGGGAGAATATACCATACCAGGCGCCTAAGACATTTGCGAATGCGATTATGGAAGTTTCACGTCTGAGTGCTTCCAATACCAAGTGTGGTGGCATCTTCTGATCCCATTCTGTTCTTTCTTTCCCCCCCTTCTTTTTGACATCATTGGTATATCTGTCGTCACATCATATGTTTTCCGCAATGCCTCTTCATGTGCCTGTCGTCTCGACGAAATTCAAACAGCTAGATAGTGCTAGTCAGCAGCCGTTCCCTCCTACTGTAGTATAGAACCCTCAGGGGCCTTGTTGCATCACCCCAATAATCTTATGCACAGTCATCTCCTTTTACATTTGTCTATCAGATCCTCCTAGAATCGTATAAGAGCAGAGAAGTAATCAATATTAATTACACAAATGTTTCTGTAGGCTTATAATTCTAATCACATTACCGTGTTTGCAGCAGTCATATACTTTAGTGTACTGATCATATGTATGATGCGTGACAGGTCAAGGGTTAACAGCGAATATATCTTTGGATGATCGTCCCGGCCTGATTGGCATCCCTCTCGCTTATAACATCACAGCATTCACTGTGAATCGTAATATTGCCTCCGTCGCAACAGTGAGTCGACGTGATTGTTCAATCGAGCCATACAATGATGTCGAATGAGATATCAAGGTTGGTGCATCTACAAGGACAAATCTTAGTTTACGATGCCAGGCTGGTCCAAACAGCCTGGCCATAAATGTGATCGGTTTCCGCTCTTTTAAGAGCAACATCAATGAAGACCAGGCATCGAGAAGTGAAAGCGCCTATCACTGGAATGATTTATGCCCTCGTGTCTCTAGAGGCACAGCTTAGGCAAGATTGAAACCTCAAGTTTAGCCGTGCTGGATGATGCCTGGCTAGAGTAAAAAAGTACATAATATACACCCCTTCTTAGGTAGTTTGCTGGGCGCCTAATGGGCTGGAATGTCAGCGACTATCGCAAAGACAAAATATCTGAATGAGGCTCTCCTGGATAGCGGTTTTAATGTATGCCGTGGAATCAGAACATATGCAAGAATTCCAGCTGGTAACCTTAGCTAGGAAGAAATATCTCTATAGGCGCAGTGGGAGTGGCATAAGAAATGAATTACATTACTCAGGATGCAATGAATGGTGAAACATAATATCTTGGGTTCTTCGAAGCTAATAAAGACACCCAAAGCGTGTGTTGATGCTCCCAGGACTGCTTCGTAGCCAGATACCTTGCTTTTTCCATAGGGAAAGTTGAATGGTATGAGCTTAATTGCTAGCAAGACAAGTTGAAGACTATACGGTCATATGAGGTCAACCTAACTCAGCAGAAGAACCATGGTTAAGACGAGTGGGTTGTTGATAACGTCTCAAAAGGACATGATTATAGGCCATGATAGTATAGGAGAGCAAGATGGCTACAACATGGGCAATGTTGACTATTTGGATCAGTACCTCTATGTAAAATATATCCCTTGCTGAGGAAGGCCTACCAGCAGGGTTTCTACCTCTGGCCAGCAACTAATTCCTGCTTGTCATTGATACTTTGGATTGTCTAAGTTCTAGTGCATACTGTGTTGCATTCTTGAAATAATTCTAAAGTTGCATCGAGCTGGAGGTGCTTGTTTTGGTCAGGGCAAGGGATAAATAAACACAATATGATGTACACGTATAGCAGTTATCAACAATCAACCATCACACAGAGTACTGTTAAAAGCTGTTATTGAGCATTCCTGTGATTCATCCTCTACGAGGAACGGGTAGATATCACTTTCTACCGGACAGGATCTGACTTCTCTCTTCTACTTCCAAGGGAGATCACGCACATGCTAGTGCTCAACTCATATGTGTCAGTGTAGGTATTATGTGCTTAATGCATATTTTCATCTGTTTCAAGATTTCTTTAGGAATTTCAAAGGAGAGAAAGAGTCACTAACAAGTTTAGGTATTGGTATGTAGGGGGACACATAGTCCATCAGGCATGTAGAAAACCAACGCATTTAGGACGCCAACACGACACTTGTAGCCCTATAAATACAGAGGCGTGTTTCGAGACACAGTGTTGCTTTGAGAGTCCTGATTCAATCATAATTCATCACTGTACTTTGTACCGCCCGCTCATTGCATAACACCCATCGCGTACGATGCATTTCAATTTCTTGAGCACGATATGTCTCCTGGCTCTATCCGGGCTCGGTGCGGCGTCCAAAAGAGCTGTCGCACGAACGCTCAACATTGTCGCACACCAAGATGATGACCTGCTCTTTCAAAACCCAGATATTATCCATGACATCGGGTCAGGGCGCAGAGTTCGGACCGTCTACCTTACAGCGGGAGATGCGGGTCGCGGATGGGAATACTGGACCAGTCGCCAGGCCGGCGCCATGGCCGCTTATGCCGAGATGGCTGGTGTTTCGAATGACTGGGAAGAATCGGATCTCGGTATCCCGGGGAAGGACATTCCTCTTTATACCTTGAGCGATAGGCAGAGGATCTCTATCGCGTTTATGCATCTACCCGACGGCAGTATTGATGGAAACGGGTTCCCGAGCACAGACAATGAAAGTATGGAAAAGCTCTGGAAGGAAAGCATCCCAGAGATCCGAACTGTGGACGAATCCGGCACGACCTACACCCGACAGGAGCTCATTGACACCTTAACCACGATTATCGACGATTTCGGTCCAGACGACGTGAATGCACTCGACTACCTCCATGACTTCGGCACAGGTGATCACAGTGACCATACTGCCGGCGGTCTATTTGCAAATGAAGCAGCAATTCCCTCCGAGTTCCCTGGCAATGTTATCGCCTACATAGGATACCCCACCTCAGATCTACCCGCCAATGTCGATGGTGAGGACTTGGAAGAGAAGAAAGCCGCGTTTTACACCTATGCAGCTTATGACGATGCCGTGTGTTCAAGCGATGAGGCCTGCGCTGGTGGTCCATACGAGTCTTGGCTGGCTCGCCTGTACACGTCGAATTGATATGATTGACAATGTCGTGATGATTGGGATTTGTTTGGTTCGGGCCTTGATGTTATATAAATGAAGTAATTTCCCCTGGCTATCCATGTACAAGGACGTGCCACTATCTAGTAAGGGTTCTGAATAAGTGGGTTTTCATCTTGCTTAATTTGTTGCTTTCCATAAGAAGACTGCACAGGAATTGCATCGTCCACCCGGTAGCTAGGGCATTCATTTGCAATCGGTAAACCTTGAAACATATAGATATGCAAACTTGACGACTAGATATAATCTCTCTGGTTTATAGCCGGAACAAAGTACTATCGGGAAAACTGTTTGCATTGTGATGGATACCCACCGAGCTGCGTAGAGAGCCGGGGTGAGGATTGAAACAGGGCCATACCCAGGCGGCTGCCCTTCCTGCCAATAGTGAGGTGCTTGCTTTTGTTCATCATGTTTCAAGTTTATTTCTCTACAGATAAACATCTTGAAAGCCCCTTGTAATCCACCACACTTTACGCATTGATTTGAGCCCATGCATGAGGTCTTCATTTGTGTTGACATTTCCCTTGCAGTTGCCGCTACCACGCGGTCTTCGTTTCGTCGCTAGCAGTTCGTCGGATATCAGTTGCTTGATTCCGCTCGACTCGGACTGTAGCCCTAAGATCATATTCTGGTATTCTGATTCACATCTATAGGTTTCTGCATCTTTCTTTTTAGAACGCTAGGTCGTGGGTTGTAAACTGAAGGCTTTAGATCCTCACGCCAGTCTTACCAAAACAGCTAAGGCCAGAAAGGTTAGGGTAATCCAGGGCAAGGTGACCCATTTCGATTACGGATGACCTCAATCCCGTCCGTCCTCATCTCGTCAATTACTGCATATAAAGCTTCCATCCATCCAGCTTCTCCAGATGGGTTTTCAACGGGCTCCTTGGATTTATTCCAGTGCTTTTCAGAAATTAGACGTAGCTTATCGTCATCTTCGCGTAGTATATCATGAAAGACATTGTTATCAGCGTACTGGCTAAAACTAATGGGTACCTCATCGTCTAGGAAGATACTGGCGCGCCGAAGATGGCCGCCACGATAATGTGCATCAGTCAGTCGTGACGGACTAAGCTGAAGAAGGCAGTATTATAGGGATCTCTAACAAGCTGTTGATTCTCTCCATATTAAACAGCGCGACAGGATAGAGATACTAGGTGTTTTGATTGCGCTCACTGAGGGAATCATGCACAAGCAAAGCTGACCTAGACTGCTCCAATGGTATTAACCAGGGGAGGGGGTGTGTGTCTCCTTTATTTATATCAAAATGTAATGCTCTTCTGGACTTAAGGCAGAGTTAAGTTAATTTTGGGAACAATATGATATATCAGGCCGCCCAGACGAAGCATCAGAAGACAAACAACACCAAGACTAGCGAGGGAAGAATCGCAGCCAGGGATATTTCACCCAATCATTCGGCTATATCTTCCCTGTCTAATATAATATGGAGGAGATGAGATGACACTGTGACTGGCGCTAAGCACAGCCCACGCAATCCTCAACTAAACTAAAGCCAGGTGTTCTAGTCTGACACACTACCTTCCAAGCTATATGTACAGACCTTGAGTTAGTGGTCCTCTATAGCGGTGCTCATCTTCTTTCATGATATAACTACCAACCTCTACTTCGCTACAATTTCTACTGCATGCGGCAGCATGTCATTTTTGTTAGTACTGCCGCCCGAGCTAACCATACCAACACACCATGGCCTGCACTGTAACTAATATATTTAGAGGAATTCATCTTGTTGGCCATATGCCCCTTTTTCTATACTCCATTGCCTACCCAACTGGCCAGATATATTACTGCTAGATGGGGGCTAGTGGATCCAAATAAGATCTATTAGATGGTTTTCACCACAGCACATGTGGGAGTTAATAGATACAGGCCTGCCCGGTAATTATTACTGATATTGTGGCAATGACTCAATTTTTTGAAAAACCTTTGTACTAATTAGTAGTGATCTTCCTCAATATTATATTCTATCAGGGATCAGTATCCTGGTGATTGTGCTAAGCAACTACAACTATGTGGACGACCCAAACTCACATCTACATGGCTGGGAAAAGATTGATCTGGTACTCTTTAACCTAAATATTATCTGGTACTCTTTAACCTAAATATTGCAATTACATGTGTTGCCACTAGACCATCTCCATTGAAAACTGTTAACTTTAACAGATGTGAGAGAGTCTTTTTAATGTTTCTCCGTGAGCTGTCATAACATGGTCATTCAGACCGAGGGGGGGAGAAGGCCTTAATCAACAATTCACCTGGATGATTATCACACTTCTAAAGATGTCCAGTAAACCCACCTTACACACTTGCAGGGGTGTGACGAGGTGTGGTCTACCAGCTTGGACAGCAAAGACTGAGACACTCCTGGCTGCCTAATTCATGATTGACTTATGGCTCCGTAGCTAGTTTCAGGGCCTACCTGGCACATTCAGGCCAACATAGGGGGTAGTGACCGCCGGCCTGCATGGTCACTGCCTCACTGGAAATTGCTTGCAGAGCGTACCTTTGACTATGATTGGAGAAGATGCTAGGGACTCGATGGGAGTGCTTAGCTTAGGGTTGCATTTGGAGAGATTACCATGGGCTATACATATCTGATCCATGGCAGCATATAATTTCCCCGCCAGCCAGGGATTCAGTGTATAAAATAGTGGCTAGCCCATCTGCCCTTAGGGACCTGCTGCCACTCGGCCGTTACGCTGGCAGATGCATGAATGAATAATTGCACTGATTTGAATTGTTCCCCCGCTCATCCCTCATGAACTATACTAAAAACGATGATACTACCCAAGAGCCTAAACTCAGTGAACTCAAACTGGACATGTGTTTGCACAAGTATAATTCAAACTATAGTCAGCGTAAATACAATCCACCAGCAACAAACAAAGCATAACCCATCACCGTCGGGACTCCAACTCCCCTCCATCCCCCATGAACAACACCTGACTGGTGACAAAATACTCTAGCCCGCTGCGCTTCATCTGCCCGATCCACTTGAGGAGCGGGATCGTCGGTAGCGGGGTGTCTCCCCTCTCCTGTTCCATGAAACGCTCCATCCTCTCGATGTCGATCCGCACGGGGCACTCGTGGTGCACGAAGCGAGGGACCGGGTTCTTGTCGTGTATCCCAGCTTCCTGGATCAAGGCACTAGCCAGGGATCCCGCCGTGTGATGCACGGGAACCATCTCGAAATGGCCCTTCGTGCCGCGGAAGTCGGGTTTCAGGGAGAGGGAGTCGATGAAGGTGAGGAAGTGCTGCAGGGCGGGAATCGTGGATTCCTCCGCAGATGATTGGGTGGTGGGAGCAGGGACGAAGCGGTGGATGGTGGTTGGGATGTGCAGCTGTGTTGTGGCGGCGTGGAGGAGTTGTTCGCAGACCCAGCGGGTGGCGATGTATCCCTGGGATCCGTCGGTTGGGGGCGGATGGGCGGCGACGGACTGCGCGACCACACTGTCTGTTCCTTCTACATTGGTGGGGAGGACGCCCGCGGTGGAGATATAGTGCATCGGGATCTGGCGCGGAGCAGCGAGTTTGACGAGTTCCCGGGTGGGGAGGACGTTACTCGCACGCAGGAGGTGGTAGTTATCCCAGAAGGAGCGGACGGCGCCCATGTGCAGGATTAAGTCGACTTCTTGGGCTAAAGTGGTGAAGGTGGATTCAGACAGGCCGAGGTATGGGTCGGAGAGGTCCCCTGCATGTGTGACGATTTTTTCGGAGGTCACGGCGAGGGTTCGCGGTGTGCCGGGGGTCTTTTCGCGGAGGCCAATGCAGTGGATTTGCCGGATGTGAGGGTGGGAGATCAGTTCGGTGAGGATATGTTTGCCGAGGAAGCCTGCGGCGCCGGTGACTAGGATGACGCAGTCGGTGGGTTTAAGGGGGTGCTGGGTGGGGGTAATGGAGGAAGAGAGTGCCGTCGCGTCGGGTGGGAGCGCGGATTCTTGTTTCCAGTCGATTGCGCTGACTATAGTGCTTTCTTCAATCAGTTGGGCCATGGCGCTGAGGGTGCTGGCTTCGAGGAGGTCGACTAGCCGCACTGTTACGTTGAACAGGTGTCGGATGCGGGATTGCAGGCGGACGACGAGAAGGGAGTTCCCCCCGATGGTGAAGAAGCTGGTCGATGGGACAATCCGCAGGCCGAGCTCCTCCGTGTGGAGGACCTCTTCCCATACGCGGCGCAGTTGAAGCATCGTCTCCGTCAGGACATCCGCTGTCTCGGAGGACACGGTGCGTCGCGGCAGAGGAAGTGCCTTGAGGGCCTTCCGGTCAACCTTGGAATGGTTACTCAACGGCATGCGGTCGAGGGGAATGGCCACGACAGGAACCATGTACTGCGGGACAGGCAGATGCTGCAAAAGATGGTCGAGGAAAGCCTCCTGATTAGTGACGGCATGGTTCGGGGCAAAGACGACATGGGCCACCAGCAGAGGAGGATCGCCGTCGCGAAGAGTCACCGCCGCTTCACGCAGAGCCCCATCGGACGCCTTAACGATGTTGCTCTCGATGTCCCCGAGCTCAATGCGCAGTCCGCGGATCTTGACTTGTGCATCACCGGCGACTCGGCTGTGGAATACCATGGCTCCGTCAGCCTGCAAGTGCGCAATGTCCCCGGTCCGATACATCCGCGTCCAGCCCTGGGCCAGATACTCCGGGGTGGCATACGGATCCGGGTAGAAGTGATAGTCAGTCAGCTCGGGATTGTTCAGATACCCCAGCGACACCCCTGCACCGCCAATCCACAGCTCCCCGGGCATGCCAACGGGGACGGGTCTTTGCTGCTCATCCAGGATGTAAGCTGCATAGTTAGGCAGCGAATATCCACAGGGAATGCGACCTTCAGGCTGTTTCTCGCGGTACGCGATTTCCATTTTAGTTGACGAGATGGAGATTTCCGTGGGCCCATACGAGTTGAAGAAGCGCAGTTGCGGCAAGTCCAGCGCCGCGAGCTGCTGCAGAAGGGTTGGGGTCAGCGACTCTCCCCCTCCAAAGCCAAAGCGCCAGTTTTTCGCTTTGCGTAGGTTGGCGTTCCCATAGTCCAGCCACAGGGCGTATTCTGCTGGGGTGGCCTTGGTGTAAGTGATGCCCTCTTCCTGGATGATTTGGCTGACTTCAATAGGATCTCCCCGCTTGCTCCACGGAACAATATACACAGTCCCACCGTTGGTCAGGCCCGTATAGATCTGATCTGAGGAATGGTTGAAGGTGAAGGCGCTCTGCTGTAGGGTGCGTTCGGCGCGCAACCCCCAC